TGTGTGTGTGTGTGTGTTTGTGTGTGTTTGCGTGTGTTTGCGTGTGTTTGCGTGTGTTTGTGTGTGTTTGTGTGTGTTTGTGTGTGTTTGTGTGTGTTTGTGTGTGTGTTTGTGTGTGTGTGTGTGTGTGTGTGTGTGTGTGTGTGTGTGTGTGTGTGTTGTGTGTGTGTGTGTGTGTGTGTGTGTGTGTGTGTGTGTGTGTGTGTGTTTGTGTGTGTGTGTGTGTGTGTGTGTGTTTGTGTGTGTGTGTGTGTGTTTGTGTGTGTGTGTGTGTTTGTTTGTGTGTTTGTGTGTGTGTGTGTGTGTGTGTTTGTGTGTGTGTGTGTGTGTGTGTGTTTGTGTGTGTTTGTGTTTGTGTGTGTGTGTGTGTGTTTGTGTGTTTGTGTGTGTGTGTGTGCGTGTTTGTTTGTATTTGTTTGTGATTGTGCCTGCCCTCCGTGGCCTCAAGCAGGGTAGGCTTGGCATGCCTGAGTTGGCGCTTGGGGAACATCCCATTCTATCTGTCTGGTTTGTGAGGACTACTTAAACTATGCCGGGCTCTTGGAAAGGATGCCTGGGCTTGGTTGCCGGCGCTTGCGATCTGAAGGAGTTGTGCCAGCTTACAGAAAACATGTGGGATGTTCCCCCTTATACGAACAGTCCTTAATTTGGATAGTAATTGGGGGGTACGATCATCCCTACCTAGGACTGTTCGTCTAAGGGGGAACATCCCAAGAAGACATTGTCAAGCCTTTGCGGCTTAACTTAGCGTGTAAAGTTGCATTCTCCCGCTGCCGGCTGCACTCGAGGGTTTTCAGCAAGCGACTCTGCCCACCTTGTGCTGCGGCCATACAGGCCTGTCTGAAACGTCAAAAGCGCCAGTGCGATGAAGGTATCGCCAATCCCTATCCCCCTGTCTGGGGGATCTGCCTGCATGTGGTGGGTCATCTTGCTCTTGTCGCGGGCTGGAGCTGGGGTGGTCGCCTTGTCATAGCTGGGTAACATTTTACATTTTTAAGGGTACTAAAACCCAATAAGGAATATAAATCTAAGGTTTTTTAATACTATCCCAACCATGAACTAGGTCGGTCCTGTGGATGATGAGTGTGGGCAGCACGCCTGTTCGCTGCAGATGCTGCAGCATGTTGCCGAGCGGAGGCTGGGCCATAGCCCGATGCACCCGGACCCATCCGTCGTGCGGTGGGACCAGTTACCCGCTGCGGGTGCTCTGGTATCTGGCAGCCTCAGCGTATTCCTCGATCCTGAGGATGCCAAGAGCCCGAAACTGGAGCTGGAAGTGGAGATGCACTTTGCGGACCAGCAGCCCGCACCCTTGGGGCCTCTACTGCTTCATTGCGGGGGGCCGGGATCCGGCAGCAGCTGTGTCAGATATGCTCCTTGGAGCCGAAATAGCCCAACTTTTCTCGCCCCGGAAATTCCCCTGCCGAACTTTTTTTGGGAGAATCTCCCAGTCTCCGCCACAAGCCTATATAGAAGGGACCCTGAATCTTCTTCCCGTATATAACTCCTACAGAACCTCTACATAGAGACCTTACATGGCCCTGAATGCTTACCTAAAAGCCGAGCGCTTGGCGTTGCGAGCTGAGGCAGGGGGTTCACACCTCGAGGGCTACGATGTCTGGTCCATCTCGCAGCGCGGAATTGGGCCCGCCGCGGAGCCGGCCCTCAACTGCGACTCGGCAGGCCCTTTGGGGATATTTTTATATATTTTCCCTGATTGAACTTAAGAGGACCATGCTTAGGAATATGTGTTTGATTTTGTCCCTTGTTGGGTTTAAGAGGGCCAGACTTAGGAATGTTTTTTCAGAGGGTTTTAAGGGCCATCCGAGGCAACAACTCCCACCTCCCAGCCAAGTGCCCGGCCTCAGGCCGGGAGTGCCAAGGGAGCCGAAGCCCACAAGCACTACGGCACATACAATATATATATATATATACATATATATATATATATTTATTTATTTGTTTATTTATTTATTTACATACAATATAGTCTGCTATCGTATACCAGAACTACTATAATTTTGATTATCTTCCCTTGTTTTTAATGTATCATTTCTTATGTTGTATTGTGATATGATCGTGGAGTCGCCTGTCAATGGCTGCAGTTTCCTTTGCGACTAGCTTAGTGGCCGGGGCAGCTTGTGCCCGGTCTTATGCGCTGGCTGTGGCCCCTCTGCACCTCATCCGAAACATCTGCACCTCCAGAAGCACTTTGGGCCAGTATCTCCCACATAATGGGACATTGCAGGACCCTTCAGTCGCAACTCGTCCCCACAAGCTCTGCAAAGCAATGAGCCCTTGACTGTCATCATGAGCTCTCAAGAACTTACTGTTGGTTCGCAGGCGCATATGTACCCTTTAATGGATTATGTAGGGCCCTCATTCGCCCACTTCCCTACTAGCCAACAGCAAGTGAGTTGAAGGTTGCAAGATCAGCGATTTCACCGACTGCCCGTGTGCGCTGCCGGATGGCATGCCTCAAATCGGCGAGGCCCACGGTGTTTTGAGGGAGCATAAGGTTTCGGGTTGTGAAGGTGGAGGGGGGGTGTGTGATTAGCGCAGGAGAGTGAGAGCAAGTGTGGTAGTTCTGCAGTGTGCATGCGAATCTGATGAAGGCGTAGGGTGGAAGAAACCTTCACAGCTCACCAGTCCTTCGACACCTCAAGCCGTCCATGCGGGTGTGAAGGCTTAGCGGCAGGAGTGAACTTGTAAGGTGAAGACTGAACCCCCCCCACACACATACAGAGTCTCTTTCTGTTTGTGCTTTTGTGCCTTTGAAAAGACTGAGATTTGGGCGGACATCGACCCGCGGAATGAGACGCAGGTCGAGCAGCTTTTTCGGAAGAGAGATGCCTGGGGGAGCAGGTGCGCTGCCTCTCCCAAGTTTCAGCTGGTCGGGGCCAACGGCAAATCCTACAACTTCTTGGAGTACGTGGGGTCCCAGTTTCTGTCCTACGACATTGACCGGTTTCGCCGTGCCATAGGGGCGCAGAAGATGAGCTTCTACGGGTACAGCTACGGCACCTATGTGGCCGGCGTCTACGCTTCCGTGTTCAGTGAGTTCACGGGGCGCGTGGTTCTGGATGGCAACATGGATCCCTCGCCTCGAAAGACGGCCCAGGCCACGGGTGATGCTTTAGCAAACGACAAGTTCATTGCGTTCTTGCTGAATACCTGCAGCAGGACACTCTTAGAAACTTGTTCTTTTTGTGAAGTTGGCCCTGAAGTTCTGTGGCGTTTCACCGTCACCTAGAGGCATCTGCAGGATCTCAAGGTTGCTGCACCCTTTTCTGTCTCTCCCATCCAACTCAGGCAAGGCCGCAGCGGACTGCCCATTGAAAAGCCCGGAAGAGGAGTATGATCAGATCGTCGCAGCAGCTCGTTTGGGGAATTTAACGGCACCTACGAAGTCTGGGACCCAGTTCCCATTGACGGTTGGCATGCTGATGGCCTACATTCAGACGGAGTCGCTGTCCAACTCCGGGCGGCTTTTTCACAGAGCTCTCGAGACACTGTCGAAGCTCTCCCCCAAGAACAGTCCCCTTGGGACGATTCAGTCGACGGTTGCCTTCATCCTGGATGGGTTCTGCTTTGTGAAGGGTGTCAGCACTTGGTACACCTACGACATCTGTGTTGGGCCTGGACACACAGGCGAGGACGAGGAGGCTCCCTATACAGATTTCGGGGAGCCTTACATGCAACAATGTGCCGTTTGGGGTGTGGACCAGGCCGGGTACTTCAGCGTACCAGACCTGATGCGTCAGTGGAGGTCTGCGGCCGCCCAGAATGGCGATGCGGGCCTTGCTGCAGTGGTAGGAGACATGGTTGGCTACTTCCTGTGGCCTGTGAAGGCGACGCCCAACGCACCCATGGGCAGTTCGATAGTGTATCCTTTGGTGGTGGGGAACTTGTTCGATCCGGCTACAAGCTATAGCTGGGCGCAGGACATGAAGAACGCGTTCAAAGAGGGGTCGTTGATTACATGGCAGGGCATCGGCCATACTTTTCCATCCCGTGCAAGTGACTACAACAGGGAAGCCGTCGCTGAGTGCCGAGTTCACATCACGGAATACCTGCAGAAGGGGACCTTACCCCCAAACGGTCTTACGTGCTTTCAAGACAAGCCGCCTCGGGTTTGACAAGCTGGTCTCACCAATGTCCCTCCAAAAAAGTCTAGCCGCTCAACGCGGGCTCCGCGTCTTTCACTCTTTCAGATGTGCGAGGGTTGTGTAGCACTACTGAGCGGCTGCGCCGTTCTTGTCCTGCTGTGCCAGAAGGGCATCCTTCACATAGCAAGTTCCTACACGGAGCCAAGGTGCGGTATGAGATTGCTCTGGAAGCCCTGAGGCCGGCACCTGTCCGTTTAGGGTTCAGGGTTTAGGGTTTAGGGTTTAGGGTTTAGGGCGTGCTAAGCTGAGTCAGGTGAGGGAGGGAATCAGGAGTGCTCCACAATGTTCCATGCCTGCAGAGGCGCCGGCGGACAAGTGCACTGCGCTGGAGAAAGCACTCGATCAGTGCAGTTGCAAGCCCCTCAGTTCTTAGCGAAAGGAGGGATGGGCAGTCGGGAGAAGTCTCCGAAGAGATTGTTTTTGGCAGCAGCGAAGCGATTCAGGCTGGGCTGCGGCGGATCCACAACATCCTTCATCGAGGTTCGTAAGGACCTGAGGCGACAAGCTTGAGCTTGCTGGTTCCGGGTGTCGGTGGTTTCTCTGAAAGGGGTGGATGCTTTTTGAATAGGCGGCCCCTGAGTTATTGACAGTGTGCATGCCGGGAGGGATGTTTGAGACGCCTGCCAAGGCACAGGTTCAAAGGAGACCTGCGACTTTGGCCCTGTCCCAAGTTCTGCCTGGGTTTAGGAATCAGGGTTCAAGGTTTAGGGTTTAGGGTTTAGGGTTCAGGGTTTAGGGTTTAGGGTTTAGGGTTTAGGGTCAAACTCAGACGCCAGATGTGCCAGGTACCAGCATGTCGACTTCTGTTTGAGAAGTGGTCTTGGCCCTAAAGCTGTCAGCACACAACTGGCATTGAATGGTCCAGCATGCTAAGAGCATGGGAGCCTGTGAAAGGCAGCACAGCGATGCTGACGCGTGTGCTGATGCGCGCGGTCAAGCGCATACCTCGGTCTTTGTCTCTAGCGCCACATCAGCACAGCATCCAGTTAGGTGCAAATACCCTAAACCCTGAACCCTGAACCCTCAACCCTAAACCCCAAACCCTAAACCCTAAACCCTAAACCCTAAACCCTAAACCCTAAACCCGGGGCCGGCTGGGCTGAGGTATCACCCGAAGGAGGTTCATCTTTGGCTGCTTGGTGCAGACCGAGAACTCCAGCAAGGCTGCCCGAAGTCCAAAAAGAAGTTAGGATACTACAATACTATAGTACATCATACGGAAGAATATTATGATACTATGACACTATAATACTACAATACTATTAATCCTATAATACGATAATACTATAATACTACAATACTATAATGCCATAATACCATAATACTACTATAATACTATAATACCAGAATACTATAACACCATAAAGTGCTGCGGCAAGCCGAGCCTGAACAAGAAGGCCACATCGAAGCGGCGCGAAAGCTGCTGCTGCGTGGCCTGCGGTGTGTGCCCAAATCGGCCCGGTCCTGTGAGAATTTGGCTGGTGTGACGGTTTAGGGTTTAGGGTTTAGGGTCTAGGGTCTAGGGTCTAGGGTCTAGGGTTTAGGGTTTAGGGTTTAGGGTTTAGGGTATAGGGATGACCTTGTGCTCCTGGCAAGGAGGCAGTTAAGGGCTCACATGTAAAATTGAAGTCCGATACAGATGTCTTGCAGGTCAAGCTTCTCCTCGAGTTTTTGCGCTTGGAGGTGGGGGTTGCGTGGAACTCAGCGGCATTCGAGCATGTCCTGTGTGTGTCACATTCATGCAGCATTAGGTTCATGGTTCCCGGCAGGTTTCTTCGGATTGCACCCAGTATTGCCATGGTTGCTACAGCACCTTCCTCTGAACATGTGGGGACTGTTAAACAGCGCTGTGCATGAAGTTTGTCGCCTTTGTCTCGCCTAAGAAGAAGAAGAAGAAGAAGCTGCGCTCTTCGGTTGTTGTCCACAGCTTGGGGTAACCGCGCCGAAAGAATCGGGTGTGGGTGCCTTGGGCAGCTTTAGCTTGGTCGCAAGAGTTGGAGTCTTCCTCTACCATGCCCCAGAAGAGACCCTAAACCCTAATTAAACCCTACACTCTACACCCTACACCCTAAACCCTAAACCCGAAACCCTAAACGAGCCAACTATGGAAGATTGGACTCGAGTCGTCACTCCTGCCTTCTCAAAGGATGCACGGGCCTCATATGTTACCAAAAGAGCCCAATACCCCTTAAATAAGGAACATACCTTAAATCCTATTAAGGATCCCTAAACCCTACACCCTAAACCCTACACCCTACACCCTAAACCCTAAATCCTAAACCCTAAACCCTAAACCCTATGTAATCTAAGGTATATTCCTTAATTAAGGGGTATTGGGTCTCATTTGTTGCATGGGTGCTCGGCGGTCGAGGCAGGGCAACTGCTTGCCGCAACGCGGCTGAAGCAGGAAGAGGACGACCGGACAAGTTGGGGTGAAGCCCTAAACCCTAAACCCTAAACCCCTAAACCCCTAAACCCCTAAACCCCTAAAGCCCTAAACCCCTAAACCCCCAAACCCCTAAACCCCTAAACCCCTAAACCCCCAAACCCCCAAACCCCTAAACCCCTAAACCCCTAAACCCCTAAACCCCTAAAACCCTAAAACCCTAAACCCTTAAACCCTAACAGGGTTCACGCCGATGCCACGCTTACCTTCGGGGTGCTTAGCGCGACACAACTGCTCTGCGCCCAGCAGGCCAAGGAGGAGGAGGAGGAAGCCGACACAAAGGATGCACAAGCCCCGGAGCGGTTTAGGGTTTCGGGGTTAATTAGAGTTTAGGGTTTAGGGTTTAGGGTTTAGGGTTTAGGGTTTAGGGTTTAGGGTTTAGGGTTTAGGGTTAGGAGTTGAGACCTAGGTTCATGGTACTTCCTAGCCAATTACAACTGTACTTCGAACCATATGCGGGCAAGTGGCTTATAAGTGGCTTAGAAGTACAGTTATAGTTGGTTAATAAGTACGGTGCACCTCCAAGTACAGCATTGATGCCCTGCAGTTGAGCAGGGGGGCTTACCGAACTTTAGGGACCCCGAAGTATGGACCCCCCAAAATTGTATAGGATTCCCTTAGAACAAGGACCCCCAATAAGGTACCCCTAAGTTCGGAGACCCCTACACCCTAAACCCTAAACCCAAACCCGACACCCGAAATCCGAAACCTAAACCCTAAACCCTAAACCCTAAACCCTAAACCCTAAACCCTAAACCCTAAACCCCCTTTTATAACCCCGAATTTCGGAGACCCCCCCAAAACAACACCCCTGTTCACGGGCAAGGTTTGGGCGCCCTCCAAGCTGCTCTTCCGCAAGGCCATCGCCAAGCTGGAAGGACGAAGAGAGGGTTTAGGGTTTAGGGTTTAGGGTTTAGGGTTTAGGGTTCTACTTGCATCGCTCCCTGGCGTTGGGCAGTAGAAGAGATCGACTTTCCGAGTTTTAAGTTGATGGAGGAAATGCCGCTGATACAGCGGGAAGCCTACTGGATGCGCAGATTCTGCAACCCGACGCTTGCACCATCCGTGCTTCTTGCCGCTCCTGTTGCTTGAGGCAAGCTACCTGGCAGCGAGTGTGCAGCTGCTGCATCAGGCACAAGAAAAGTGGACAGCCTCTGGCGGATTATCAGTCGAGGCCTTAACCTACACCCTAAACCCTAAACCCTAAACCCTGAACCCTAAACCCCAAACCCCTGAACTGGGGCTCTTCGAGCCGTTGTCCAAGGAGTGGGCAGACTCCCTGCGAGAAGCTGCTGCCAAGAGCCGTCCTGGTGTTGCCAGGTGCTCAGGAGCATTTGGGCATTACCGGTTTAGGGTTTAGGGTTTAGGGTTAGGGTTTGGGGCTTTAGGGCTTTAGGGCTTTAGGGTCCTTCGCGTTTAGGGTTTAGGGTCGATGATCGGCCCACGAAAATCCTGCCCCTACTTTCGGAAAACCCCAGTTTGCTAGCTTGAATGGCAGAGACCGTGCCAGGGGCAAGGGGCCAGTCCTTCGAACGACGAGGCTCGCAGAGGGCCTTTCGCGCGCGCATGCGACTTAGGGTTTAGGGTTTAGGGTTTAGGGTTTAGGGTTTAGGGTTTAGGGTTTCGGGCTGTCAGGTGGACGAGCCGGCCGTGACTATTTGGGAGGTTTGGTGGACTGAGGAGCCATCCAGAAGCTCGAAGATTCGCAGAAGTTGTTATTTAGCGAAGTTGATAGCACATCTGCAGAGTAAGCAGGTATAGCTACTTTGGTATGGCCTACTGTGTCATGACTAAAAGGTGACTGGCTGAGAGGCAGCTTTTTTTTGACATGGTCTCCCGCCTTTTCGGCTGAAAGCTCCCCTGTGGCTGGTCGTGCATGCGGTCGGGCCTGATGGAAACTCTTTTGTAGATCCCATTTCGCAGGGGTGTCCGCGAGCGTGTGTTGGCTCCAGATTGCAAAGCTAGGAAACTTACGTGCATGGGACGCCATCCATCCTCACGCACCTGCGAAAAACACGTGCTGCATCTCGGGACATTATCTCCAGACGTTTCCTACTCTCGTCTTAAGTATCAAAACATTTGTTTGCAATTTTGAACCGTGAATCTGTCCTTTGCATCAGACATCTTGTGTGTATGTGATGTGTGAGAGGTACACGCGTCCGGGCTGGGCTTGGAGTCTATAGAAGTAGCGCAGTGCCCATGTCACCAGTGCCGCAACTCGTGAGCATGTCAGCTATCCACGTGCGAGGCCCTTTGTTGATTTTGGACGAATTCGGTAACTGGCCGATACAAGGAAAACCCTAAACCCCAATTGTAGGCATGAGTAAAGTCCTTGTGTTCTTCGCCTCAATCATAATGCTGTGCCCGCTTTTGTGGGGGGCAGGGGAGGTTGGCGGGGTGGGGGGGGGGTCTCTATTTTGGGAGGCGTGCTTTGCGTGGCGTGCCTTTGCAACCGAGTTGCCGGCCACTCCCCTCCCGGCGGTCTGCCGAGTGACATGCCGCGTGGTCCTGCATGGTCTGGCATGGTAAAGGATGCGTGGCAAAGGATGAAAGTATTGCCAGGTGAATTCTGGTGAGAGTAGCATTTAAGGTTGGACCTGCTTTGATCTGTTACCCCCTCCCCCCCCCCCTGAACAGTCGAAGTCCATGTCTGCTTGGAGTTCCAGGAGCTGAGGGCACCTGCCCCAAAAAGCTGGCGCTCGGCTCAGCGAAAGGAAGGTTCAGAAGGCTTAAGAATCCCCCCCCCCAAAAAAAAATAAAGGCCAGAATCCCTATATTACCCTTATACGGGAGAATATCCTTTTCAAGCAAATCGTAGCTTCCGAGACTGGAAACTTGTCACACCCTCGGCGCACTTTCGTGAGGTCCGACTTGGCACCAGTGATTGCTGAGTGCAGCATCGGGGCAGTCATCGGGAGAGCCGCAGAGGCACCCAGCCCCTCGCTAAACCCTAAACCCTAAACCCTAAACCCTAGACCCGAGACCCTAGACCCTGAACCCTAAACCCTAAACCTGCAGTTTGCCTCGTGCAGTGGAGACCGTAGGAACCAATAGAAGCAAGTTTCAACAAACCTCTGCAACCATGTCCCTTGATACAGTGTCGTGCCCACATGCAAACCACCCGCAACAGCTTGTGGCATCAATGTTGGATGTTTTCGCTGTTTTGGAATGAGGTTCGCCACTCGTAGCCGCAGTCAGAAGAATCCTGGCCATGTCAGCCAGGTGCTGTGGCAGGAGTACCAGAAGGCCGGGTGAATCTTTCTTGTGGGACAAGGAGCTGGGGACAAGCCAGTAATGCCTCGTATTCGATGGTCACGGATACCCATTTGATGCGGAAGGCATTCTCAAAGCGTAAGCAGATCCTTCATTCTGCCATACAAGTGCAGAACACTTCCCCCTATCATGCCAAGGCCGATACACCCCGGAAGGAGCTCGTCAAATCGCTCCTGGTGCTGGTCCTTTCCTCGGAACCCTAAACCCTAAACCCTAAACCCGAAACCCTAAACCCAAAACCCTAAACAATACTCACAACAACCACAGCAAGAGGCAGGGGGAAGCCCGGCCATGGATCAATAGCACCTTGAAGCAGTGAACCTGGCGTCTGCTGGTAGGGTTTAGGGTTTAGGGTTTAGGGTTTAGGGTTTAGGGTTTAGGGTTTAGGGTTTAGGGTTTAGGGTTAGGGGTTTAGGGGTTTAGGGGTTTTGGGGGTGTAGGGGTGTAGGGGTGTAGGGGTGTAGGGGTGTAGGGGTGTAGGGGTGTAGGGGTGTAGGGGTGTAGGGGTGTAGGGGTGTAGGGGTTTCGGGTCTAGGGTTTAGGGTTTAGGGTTGCTTTACCATACGGGGGCTTAAGGGGCTTTTAAGGGGTGTTACTGAGGCCAAGTCACCTGCTGCCACTTCTCATGCCGACGCGGCCCTGAAGGTGCTAGAGGTGCACCCCTTGAACAAGGAATATACCTTAAACCATATTAAGGATCCCTAAACCCTAAACCCTAAACCCTAAACCCTAAACCCTAAACCCTGAACCCTGAACCCTGAACCCTGAACCCTGAACCCTGAACCCTAAACCCTAAACCCTGAACCCTAAACCCTAAACCCTACGTAATTTGAGGTATATTCCTTAATAAAGTGGTGTTGGGCTCTCTGGGTAGGTCAGTAGCCGCTGGCGGATCCATGATGCCGCTTCTGCGCATGACGTGCCAAATAGCCCACCCTAAACCCTAAACCCTAAACAGCCCACCCTAAACCCTAAACCCTAAACCCTAAACCCTAAACCCTAAACCCTAAACCCTAAACCCTAAACCCTAAACCCTAAACCCTAAACCCTAAACCCTAAGCTCGATTCCGGAAGCCCTCAGTCCCCCCTGGCATTTTCAAGCTGAAGCTGGAACCTCTGACCAGACCTTCTCCCGAGCTGCATCCGTGGACGATGCCACAATCAAGGCGCCTCCCCACACGCTGAGTTGGCGAGCTGTACCCAGGAGAGCCCAATACCCCTCAATTAGGAAAAATGTACCTGATAAATACCTATAGGGATCCTGAACATGATTTATGGTATGTAAGGTATATTCCTTCTTTAAGGTGTTTGAGGTATGTTCCTTACTTAAGGGGTATTGGGCTCTTTGGGTCAATGGGGTGGCCATGGGCAGCCTCATCTCTGTCATAGGCTGCATTCGAGACACTGCTGGAACGAGCCGCCAGGGCCTGAGACGCAGGGCACCGCAGGGCCCGTCCACAAGCAGATGAGACCCTAAACCCTAAACCCTAAACCCCAAACCCTAAGCCCTAAACCCTAAACCCTAAAACCCTAAACCATAAACCCTAAAACCCTAAAAACCCTAAAACCCTAAAACCCTAAACAAACCCTTAAGCCCTAAGCCCATAAAACAAAGTTCGCCATGTTAGCCAAGTTCGCCTCGGAAGTTCCTATATCCCCCTTGAGAATTATTCTTTTATCTTTGTTTATATAAAACCCAAGAGGATATCAAGCATGTTATTTTTGTTAAGGTTCTATAGGGGAATATAGTACAATATCATTTTTATTAAGGTTCTAAGGGGAATATAGTATAATGAGTTTTTTTCATTAAGGTTCTAAGGGGAATATCGTATAAAGTTTTTTTCATTAAGGTTCAAAAGGGGGGGTATAAGTTCGAGCCCAGGCTGCCATGCATCCGAGCCACCTGCGCCTGAGCCTGGCGGCCTCCAGAGGCGCTTTTGGAGTGGCCGAGGCCCACCGGTTTAGGGTTTAGGGTTTAGGGTTTAGGGTTTAGGGTTTAGGGTTTAGGGTTCGTTCATTTGTAATCCAATAAACAGAGTGCGTGAGAACTACACCATTCGTATTCTAGTATTAATATTGCCCGGGGCCACTTTAAACGTACTATATTCCCGGTAAACATTATGTGAAAAGTGAAGAGAAAGAGGGAACAAGATTATAAGTGCACGAAGTAAGCGCATGAATCTTGCGAGCGATTGAACGAAACAAAACAAGCTATTTAGGGTTTAGGGTCTAGGGTTTAGAGTTTCGGGTTGAGGGTTTAGGCTGAACTCAAGGGACTAAAGGAGGGACCCTTATAAGGGACCTTAGGGGTTGTTTAGGGGTCATTTAGGATATAGGGACTATGCAAAGGTATATATAGGGGCTGTAAGATGAAGGGTCCCTTCTAGGGGTCCCTCCTTATACCCGTTCATGAGCTGGTCATCCCAACAGCTCCGACTGCTTTGCTATGCCAGTCAGATGAAATCGTTCAAAGCAGCGAGCCGGCGACAGGGAGAGAGAGAGAGAGAGAAGGAGCGGGGCGCGCCTTGGCGCGGGGCTTGCCCCTGGCCCCAAAGAAAGGAAGGAAGGAAGGAAGGAAGGAAGAAAGACGGAGAGCGAGTGTCTGTGGGTTTCTTGCGGCGAGCGGGCCAGGAAGGAAGGAAGTCAGTGGGTTTCTTGGAAGGCAGGGGTATATGAGGGCGAAGGGGGGGAGCGGAATCGGGGGGAACGAAATTACAGCATTGCTTCACAGTCCTCTTTCTGTCGCCCGTGAACTGCAGGCGTTTCACAGGATGAGGGGGAAGGTGTGAGGCTGTAGTGGTGGGGGAAGCCCAAACCGTGTTGAAACGAGAGGGCGCCCCCAAAGCCTGGGAGGCTGGGGGGGTCAGCAGACTACGGGTCTGTGGGGTGCTAATGGTTTTCAAGGCTTCGGTTGTTCGGGGGGGGGGGGGGGGGGTGAGGCGTGTGTCGGAAGGTAGCCTGAGGGTCGGGGGGGGTCTTCGAGGGCGTGGTTTCAGGTGCTGCAGTAAGATAACCGGGCGGGCGCCGCAGGAGCCTTCTGCTCCCTGAAAAAGAAACATTGGAAGATAAAAAGAAGAGTCAGAAAGGGGGCCTTCACTGTGGGATTCGAATGTCGAAGTGAGTAGACAGGGAGTGCAAAGAAAACGCGTCCCTACATAGCAGGGACGTGCAGTGGTGCCGCTGACAGACCGCAAACAGGAGATGCTCTTGGGCCCTAAACCCTACACCCTAAACCCTCATCCCTCAGCATCACCTGAGTTGTCCGCAATGCTCTGCTGCAAGCTACGTAGAGACCGCTTACTGACCGAGGCAGAGACCTGTTGGGAGCTGTTGACGACGTGTCAGTGCGTTGAGGTCTGCAACATTCTGCAACAACACACCCCTCACCTCGGTGTTTTGTGCAGAACCGCAGCTTCACTGAAGTGACTCGACAGATTTGGGTATGCTTGCGCGTGGCTGGAGGAAGGGGGGCAGCTCTGATATCCTTAGCCCCGAAGAGAAGATAGCACCCAGGAGAAGAAAACAGACGGCAAACAGAAGACTCTGTGTACACATGTCAAGGACTTGGTGAAGTTAAGTTTGCTCAAAGAAGCGCGTGAGGAACGCTCATGGCTGTCCTAACCCGGGATGCATACAAGAGAGGAGACTGGTTACCAGCAGTTGCACAGTGACATCGATGTGCACCATTGCAGACTGTGAGACCCTGGTTCCCAACTCACGATTCCTGAGTACTTCCTTGCGGGCAAGAAGATCACAAAGCAGGGCATTGCGAGGGGTCAGAGTGGCAAACCGCTGCAGGTGATAGGGCTTCTTTGCACATGCATTTCTTCTGACGAACTCCTCATGCCTCGCATATCTGCGACGTAAATCATTGGAAGAAGCAGGTGGATCACACTTTCAGCCCACCCCTGCAGAGGGTTTTGCAGAGACCTTGCAGGCTCCCGAAGCTGCGGCGGCCCGCGCTTCGCTGCTGAAGCGCGCTGAGGGTGCCTCGTCTCAGGATGCTGCCCCTGCCTGAGAATTCTTGCTTCTGGACATTTCTGGACTGAACTGGATTACTCTTTGCTACTTCGAATCTTGCCGGTGCGTCGATGGCGATGAGGATTCAGACAGGTGTTTGGTCTCGTTCTGCTGGCGTCTGTTTGTCTCTGCAGCTTTGGCCTTTCGCTGTCCCTTTGGCTCCCAGCCAAACTGCCAACTCGGGACAAACGCCTGTGGCACAAGTATTTGGCTACTCGTAGCAGCTAGCACATGCGAGGCACGGCGAGGGCCAGTCTGTCCCAGCCCTGAGGTCTAAGGGCATATTCCTTCAACACAAGCATACCGTAGCATACCAGTGCAGCTAGGAACTTACCAGTTCAAGAATCGCCAGACTCATTGCAACCTCTCTTGTTGAGATTTCTAGAGCAAGCAGCACAAGACGATGGGGGCGGCTGCGAGCCGCGACACTGCATGCCTAGCCGGCATGATGCGCAGCTCTCGCCCACTGCCATCGAGTGCTGAGCCGATCACGGTGACCATCTGCGGTGCAGCAGGGCAGATTGGCTACTCCCTCTTGCCCATGATTGCCTCAGGTGGCATGTTCGGGCCCTCCCAGAGAGTGAACCTACAGTGCCTGGACTTGAAATTGCCGGAGGTGATGGACAGCATGCATGGCATGGAGATGGAGCTTCAAGATGGGAACTTCCCGCTGTTGCATAAGTCTCTTTTCACGACGGATGATGCGCTGGCATTTAAGGGAGCCGACTACGCCATCCTTCTGGGGGCCTTCCCTCGGCAGGATGGGCTAGAGAAGCGGGACGTCATGGAGAAGAATGTTATGATCTTTCGCACCATGGGGCGAGCCCTTGAGAGACATGTCAAGTATGACTGTAAGGTGCTCGTGGTGGGTAACCCAGCGCATACAAACGCATGGGTTTGTGCCCACTACGCGCCCTCCTTGCCGAAGCAGAACTTTTTTGCCCTGACGCGCCTGGATCAGAACCGCGCAGCTGGGCAGATTGCACATCACTTCGGGATCTCAGTGAATGAAGTGAAGAACGTGGTAGCTTGGGGCTCGCATGCCAAGTTTCCAGACATTGAGCATGCCATCATCAAGGGAAAGCCCGCAACACAAGCCCTATCAACCATGGAAGAGAGGAAGCGCATCAATGACCTCTTCCGAAAGGAGATGCAGCAGAGAGGAGCCAGCATCGTGAAGGCTCGAAAGGCAAGTAGTGCCATGTCCACTGCCCGGGCCATTGTGGATCACATCCATGACTTGCACTGTGGAACGCAGCCGGGTGAGTTCGTTTCAATGGGCGTCTGGTCTGACCATGGTGCCTATTCCATCGGAGATTCCCTGGTCTTCTCCGTGCCGGTGATCTGCGACTTGGTAGCACAGTGGTACCCTTTACCCTTTCTTTTGCTCCGAAGTTCCCTGATGAAGTAACCAACCAAAGAAAGTGTGCCCTTATCATAAGATGGTTACAGGGCTACCAAGGCTATGGAGGCGGTCGATATCGTGTCCACCCAAGCCTCTCGCTGAGCTCCTCCAGTCGCGATAAGCTGAGGCAAGTTGAAGCCGAGATCGCTGCGGATCGTGACTTTGCGAAGCAGTTCATGAAAAGTAGCCCAGGCCCCTCAGCACCCTCCAGTGCCTCCTAAGCCGAGGGCGTGCTGATTGATTAATGCTGCACACGGTCGCTTTGCTCCAAACGGTGCTGGTGATGCTGTGGTAATGTCCTCTGGCTCTGGCCGCAGTATTGGAAAAAGGGTGCTGAGCTGAGCCACTCACCAAGACTCATGTGAAAGAGCACACTTCTTGCCATCATACTGTGCCATCAATCAGATCATGAGGCTTGCCTGCTGCTGGCCGCTGCAGGGGCATGGGCACCAAGCATCTTTCAGATTCAATGTCTGCCTGGGTTGTATCGACATGAGTATGCAGCACCTTGTGTAAAGCGCTTTCAGATGTGTGTGTGTGTGTGGAGTGCAGGCTGTTACGGAGCAGCTCGTGAGATCTGTTGGGCCGGAGCCTTCAGTGGTTGCGATCGCTGGTGGTTTGCATTGGACTTGGTGTTGGTTTTCAGCCCCTGGCACGGATTAAAGTATTCTGAATCCACTCCCCGGATTCCCGCGATGAGTCCCAGGTAGTTCCCTTCTTGCTGCGTAGCTGACATACCAGGATGGGCTATGGTACCCTAGCCTATAGTCGCTTACAAGGCCCGTTTAGGGTTCGTTATGGGGATTATAAGGCCGAATAGCCCATCCTGGTACCTGACTTGGGGAAGCTTGCCATGCCCTAAACCCTAAACCCTAAACCCTAAACCCTAAACCCTAAACCCTAAACCCTAAACCCTAAACCCTAAACTCTCTGGCGATGCGCCTTATGCCCCAAAGCATCCCCACGCTCAAGAAGTCTGCCTTCCGCAACTTCATCTTCGCACTCAGCAATCTAAGGAACCCTAAACCCTAAACCCTAAGCCCTCAACCGTAAACCCCCAACCCGAAGCCCTAAACCCTAAACCCTAAACCCTAAACCCTAAACCCGAAGCCCTAAACCCTAAACCCTAAACCCTAAACCCTAAACCCTAAACTCTAAACCCTAAACCCTAAACCCTAAACCCTAAACCCTAAGCCCTAAACCCTAAACCCTAAACCCTAAACCCTAAACCCTAAACCCTAAACCCTAAACCCTAAACCCTAAACCAAACCCTAGAGTCTGAAACCTCGAGACGCGTGAGACTGGAGCACTTCCGAGGCCCGATGGAAGCCAGGCGCAGCTTGTGACTACGTTCTTGGCTGCAGCCATGGCCCATGCCTCAGAGCCTCTCAACCCTAAACCCTAAACCGTAAACCCTGAACCCTGAACCCTGAACCCTAAACCCTAAACCCTAAACCCTAAACCCTGAACCCTGAACCCTGAACCCTGAACCCTTACTCAGTGAGTGCTCTTAGACTTTGATGCAACATGCACACGTCGTCACGCCAGTCCTTTGCATTCCAGGCACGTGGTGGTGAGACCGAGTTTCGAGCTGCCTGCCACGAGGTGCGCTGCTAGGGCTATGGGCCATTAGATATCCCCCTTGGGAATTATGATTCTTTTTTAAAATTGTATAAAACCCAAGAGGATATCATTTATGTTAATTAAGGTTCTAAGAAAAGTATAGCATTAGGGCGACCGAATCTCTGCATGCTTCGTCACCACCGGGGAAAGCTTTCAGTGCTTTGGCCCCATCTGCCCTTGACGATGCATGTCGCATGTTAAGGCTCTTGACTATCCTTATTCATAAACCCTAAAACCCTAAAACCCTAAAACCCTAAAACCCTAAACCCTAAACCGTAAACCCCAAACCCTAAACCCTAAACCCTAAACCCTAAGCCCTAAGCCCTAAACCCTAAACCCTAAAACCCTAAAACCCTAAAACCCTAAAACCCCTAAACCCTAAACCCTAAACCCTAAACCCAAACCCCAGGTTCGCAAGGTGGCCGGAAATCTCTGGGATGCACCGGCCTCGGTGCATGGAGCGGCCGAGCCTTCGAAAACCCAAAGCCGCGCGAAGCCTAGGTTCCCCGCCAACGAGTCGCTCTTTTGGCCGCCGTTCTGGATGCGGAGTTGCGACTCATGAGCGAAAAGGAGGCAGAGCGCCCATGAAATGCGGCCATTCGTGTCACCTTCCTGTGTTGTGCAGCCATGACTCTATCATCCAGCTCTCTTGCTTTGGTGTGCGTGCTTTCTTTCACCGGCAGGCGAAGCGCTTGAACACCTCTTTCGAAGAACTTCTCTCTTCTTTGGACTCCTCTGCACCGGAGACGCTGGAATGGTGGCCCTGTGCTCAGAACGACAAACATCTTATTACTGTACAAGCGTAGTCCGAAGCTTTGTTTGTGTGGTTCCGCCATGTTCGGCAGGTATCTGATGCTGGGTGTTAGTCGGGTAGCGTTGTTGAAGCCGTGGTAGTAACTCTGAGACCGTCTGAGAATTCAACAATGAGAGCTCACACTCATGAACTATAGTATGAAACAAGGAACAGTACTGCAATGTGCTACAAGACAGCATGCGACAGTTTGAAGATGAAGTTGTCGGCACGCATACTGTTTTGAAGAGGTGCGCTAGCGCGTTTGCTAGGAAAACGTGGGTGTTAGATGCGGATATACTACTTGCTCATCTCCTGTCGGGAGGCTCTTATTTGTGATGTTGGACATGAGGCGGCCCCCCAACTACATCCCGCGACACATTTAGGATAAGTAGGGCTACCAAGCTTGATCCCCTCATTGACCATGGAAACACTGCTGTAACCCTGCGCTAAACGCTAAACTCTAAACCCTAAACCCTAAACCCCAATGGGCATCCGTGGCAATCTTGGGTAGCGCGCCCAGGCTCCGCTACCTTCAGTTTGCCCAGCGGGCCGGGGCTTTGGGCTGTGCTGGAGCCAGGAGCCAAGCTTGGAAGTGCAGGCCAGGTTTCATTGAAGGAGCGGTTTCCGTTTTAGGGTTTAGGGTTTAGGGTTACAGTTCATGATTGGAGCATCCCTATGGATCCTACATGGTGAGTTCTCTAAATGATGGTCCCTGTTGTTTGGCACCCGAGATAAGAGGGGCCGCCGTAGAACAAGGACCCCGCAAATGACAGAGGGCCCTAATTTTCGAGAATCCCCACATGGCTTTGCATAGCTTTGCGCTCAGGTGCCAAGTGTGTCAGACATCCATTGGAGAGCACATAGGGCTCTGCCGGACAGCGCTGGGGTGTATTCGTGATGCGGTGAGCCACCACTGGGCACATCTGGCAAACCCAGTCTCATGTTGCTTGCCAGCGATTGCATGGGGTGACAAAGACATGTACTTCGAAGCGCTGCCTTCCAGGATCAATCGCTGTACCGTGAGAAGTCCCAGCAAATCATGCAGGGCCAGCGCCGTCAGTTCAGCAGGAAGCATCCTGTTGTGTCATTGGTGCCCTAGCGGACGTGCACATTTTGCAACACGTGGTCGTGCAGTCTCTGAGGTCAGGCGTGAGCCGAGGTTCATGAACTACCGTTGAAGTGCCAAGCCCGAGCTGGAGTCTCACCTGCTTACCTGCTGAAGGGCGCGCCGCCAGCAGAAAAGCGCACTAGTATGGAGCCTTGAGCGCTGCAGGGACAGTGTCCGGAACAGCTTTTCTCGCTGCGTTTCGCTGGAATGCTCGGACAGCCACCCCTAAAGAACCTTGCATCCCGCCAGCAGGACGAGGAACCCGCTGCAGCGACTGGAGAGGAGCTGGGCAAAGCAGAGGGCAAAGCAGCCAGCGAAGCCGCGGGCGAGGCTGCGGGCGAGGCCTCGGGCGAGGCCGCGGGCGAGGCCTCGGGCGAGGCCTCAGGTGAGGCCAAGGCCATGGGTGAGACCGCGGGCGAAGCCGCGGGCGAAGCGGCTGGTGAAGCAGCGGTACCGAAGGAGGCAGAGGCCTCCCCGAGCGCGGCGTCAGCACCGGCGGCCTCCGAGGAAGGGAAGGCAGAGGCGGCAGAGGCGGTAGAGGCAGAGGTGCCGGAAACCGCAAGACTCGAACAGCTCGAAACACCCGAAGGTGAATCGGGCCAAACTCAGGAAGCTGAAAAGAAGGCTGACGCAGTTGACACGCCTGAGGCTGCTGAGGCTCCGGCGGTGAAGCAAGAGGGGGCCCAGGAGGGCCAGGACCTCGCCAAGGCGGCCCGAGACTTTCTCGGCTCCGTCACCGGGGCCGTGTCTCCCATGGCTGAAAGAAGCGCTCACAGCGCCACCAAGAGCCCAACCTCCCAAAGCGAGGGCGCAAAGGATGCCAAGGATGCGAAGACCTTGGCCGAGCATGAGCACGAGCATGAAGAGACGGATCACGAGGCGCATGAGGGTCGGGGTTATAATATTAATAATCACTATTATTATTTTTTTAATATTATTCCTATTATTCTTATCATTATTATTATTACTACTGATATTGTTAATATTATTATTAGTGTTGTTTTGTTTGTTATTCATAACATTTTTAGAGACGCGAGGAGCATGAGTTTGGGGAGACTGCCCATCTTGTGGAGATCGAAGCTGAGGAGGATCCCGAGTTTGAGCAGGAGCTTTTTTTGGGGGTTTAGGGTTTAGGGTTTAGGGTTTAGGGTTTAGGGTTTAGGGTTTAGGGTTTAGGGTTTAGGGTTTAGGGTTTAGGGGGGGGCATCTTCAGCACTTCCTTAGGCCCGCTATGTACGTCCCGATACCCTGAAGGAAGTGCTTTCAGAAGACACACTCCTGGAGGTGGTAGTAGAGTGGAGGTTTACACTGACAGCTCCTTCAGCGTCTCAATCCCGCTGCATGTTGAGGAGGCTCAGCAGGAGGAGGAGGTGGAGGAAGAAGAAGAAGAGCCTTTGTACAAGGAGGAGGCAGGGCATGCAGGGAGTGCTCCAGCTATATCCTGTGCACGAAATTCTACGGCAGGTTTTGAAGTTCGAGGGAGGGTTGCTCGTCCGAGGTTTGTGCAGAGTGTGTAACGCCCCCGCACGTCAGCACTTTGCTTCAACTGCGCAGGAGCTTGGACCACCGATTAACATCTACAAGCCCGTGACGCCTTATGAGGCATCCCGCAAAAACGACATCTTGACTCAATAGGACGTCTGCAGCCTTATTTTCGAGCTTGCCAACGTGAAGTGGCATACCATATTGCTGTAAGGGATTTCTTTGCTTCTGTGCTTGGTGTCGTTTGGACTTCTTGGGCTCCCTTTCAGGATTCTCTTCCTGGTGATGGCTTCGTCTTGCTGCATGGGCCATGACAACTCATTGAATGTTTTTATTGCTACTACTCCACTACTCCTACCGTTACTATATCTGTTACTAGTACTACAGCTATTGATATTACTCATGGCTTCTTGGATGTATCAGTCTTGCAAGGGGCTGGCGGGGAGGGCAACCCCCGTTTGTTGTTAACCCCAAATCCAAAATCAAGCCGTTGTTATGTCTGGAGCAACAAGTTGCTGGCTGCCCGACGCCAAGATCATGCTGGTTGTATAAATGAGGACCACGCAACTCCGAGGAATTACCAATGCTTTTGTGGGTGCACCACCCTCTCCCATCAACCGCCCCCCGGCCCCGCAAGATCAAAAACGAAACCCCTTTCCAGCCCCTTGCTGAGGGTTTAGGGTTTAGGGTTAAGGGTTTAGGGTTTAGGGTTTAGGGTTTCGAAGCACGGAGCGATGCCATCAGGGCCTTGCCGCGAAACTTTGTTTCGCTTCAGGTCAACTGGGAGATCGTTGAGGCTCCCGCAGACGGGGGCGCAGGCCTTTGACAGGGTTTAGGGTTTAGGGTTTAGGGTTTAGGATTTAGCGTTTAGGGTTTAGGGTTTAGGGTTTAGTTAGGGTTTAGGGCATACCTGGTTGAGGATAGGGTTGCATGGATGGCAAGACGGCTGCAACGTCCTCAGCAAACCACATGAGACCGGCCAGGTGGAATGCAAGGATCCAAGAAAGTCGGGAAGGTTGTCAAGCCAAAGGCGGCCTTGTGAGTACAGCTCCTGCATGAAGAGGACTTAACATTTTGAGGGTTTGGAGTGCAGGGTTTGCCCTTGGGATGTGCCCTCTTTACTACAGTGCTAAATAAGGATTATAGTACCCCACCCCGATTATCATCCCTATTAAGGACTGTTCGTATAGGGGGGAACATCCCAAGTTTAACCCTAAACCCTAAACCCTAAACCCTAAACCCTAAACCCTAAACCCATGACTGCAGGTGATCAAAGGCCGGTGTCAGTGGCGCAACCCCGTAGGGTCCGGGGCCGAATGTTTGCCTCGTTCCAAGGTTTGTGCGCTCGGAACTTGGGGTACTGCCTGCAGGTACGGGAGGTTGCAGGGGGTTTAGGGTTTAGGGTTTAGGGTTGAGGGTTTAGTCTCATCAGCCTTGTTCAGAAGTGCTGGGATTCACCCAGGTTCATGTGCTCAACAGACCTCTCGGAGGCAGCCGAGTATGAGCCGTGGCCAAACGACATGTTTGCTGCAGAGGCCTCGGTTCTTTCCCCAGAAAGCCCAATACCCCTTGATTAAGGGGTTTAGGGGTTAAGGGGTTTAGGGGTTTAAGGGTTTAAGCGTTTAAGGTAGCATAGTTCCCCTTAAATTATATAGGGATCCATAATATGATTTAAGGTGTATTCCTTATTTAGGGGGTTTTGGACTCTTTGGGTTCCAGCTTGGCTTTTCTGCCTTGATGAGTCGCGGAAGATCGTGGAATGGAACCCCACCCCCAGTGTGGGCTTGCTTTTGCAGTAAGACAGAATGCATGGCATAAGTATGGGTTTAGGGTTTAGGGTTTAGGGTTTAGGGTTTAGGGTTTAGGGTTTAGGGTTTAGGGTTTAGGGTTTAGGGTTTAGGGTTTAGGGTTTAGGGTTTAGGGTTTAGGGTTTAGGGGCTGAGCTGAGGTCTACACGTCGACCCAGGGAGGAGACAGCAAGGAGATGTCAAGCAAGTGTAGGGAGTTTTTAGGGCTTAGGGCTTTACGGAGTTTAGGGTTTTTGGGGTTTAGGGAGTTTGGGGCTTTTTAGGGAATTTAGGGAGTCTAGGGTTTTTAGGGTTTAGGGAGTTTGGGGAATTTAGGGTTCAGCCCGAGTTGAAGAATCAGAAGCTTTCGGGCTTTGTTTTGGGTCGCAGGAGCCTATTCGGAGCCAGCAGGGCCACACGACACGCTATTTTTTTGTTATCTTAGGGTTTAGGGTTTGGGGTTCAGGGTTTAGGGTGTATCGTTTAGGGTTTAGGGTTTAGGTTTAATCTGTGCAGACTCGGGAAGGTTCCCACTCCAGACTGCCTTGTGGCGGCAAGGTCACGGAAAGATGCTCAAACCATGGCCCAGTTGGGCGCATCAAAAGTTGTGTGTGCGTAGTATGTGCTCAGGGACGGATGGCTCAACATCCCTGGCACAGTAATCTGCTACAAGCAGGAGGGGAGGGTGTAACCAGCGCACGTCGCATTGCAAGTGCTAAAAGCTGTCCCGCACCCTCGCATTGAAAGGATTGACCGCTCCATGAACTACCACGAAAGCAGGGGAAAAGCAAGTGCCGCCATCGCCGCCGGCTCTATGGTGAAAGCATCATCATCATCATCATCATCATCATGAACACCTCGTGAAGAAGCGTGTGGTACTGCACAGGCGCAGCACCAGGTGAAGCATCGACTCGTTCTTGATAGTGTAGTTTGAAAGCGCATGGCCATCCTCAAACTGCATGCCTGCGAAAACTAGGGTGGCATGTTCAACATGTCTCATCGTCAAGCTGGTCTTGTCGAGCAGCGTCTTCACGAAAAACTTCACGCCGTCACACAGACATTGCACCAGGTGGAGCATCGACTGGTTGTTGACCGGGGCCGTCCTCCAACTGCTTGCCTGCGAAGATAAGGAGCTGCTGATCGGGCGGAATCTCAGCACGCTGACCTGCCGCAGCCCGTATCTCAATAAGCTTGACCCTGACAGGCGTGTCCAAGGCCTCCGTGGTCTCGCCTCCGGGATCGAAGTAGCGAAACGCCCCACCAAGGCATACGCGGTGCTCCTGTTTTAGCATCTTGGCCGCCAGGGTGCGAATGCCACCTGACACCCTGACGCCGGCAACGTGGCCGGACGCCACCACATCAAAAGTGATGATCCGGCCTAGCAGCGGTTGCTCGCCATCAATTACTGAACCCAGGACCAATGTCTGCACCTCTCCACGAAAAGAGTCTGGAAGCGGCCAGGCTCCTTGCATCTCGCGGGCGCCACCTTTAACCACCAAGTCAGAAAATGACAGGAAAAGCATACGCCCTCGATTTGAAGCTTCCGTCCAAGCACCACCAAGACCACCAAGACCACAGCATTCAAACCGCGGACCTGCTGAACCAGCGTAGCTATCCATGGAGCATGTATTCCCCTCTGCGCGATCATGCTGATGCAGTCGTATCGGCATGTGCTCCTCTGAAGGCTATGTCATGCTCGAAGGTTGTTGAGTCTTGTAACCACGCAGGTAGCACATCCACGTCAGCAGTCACGTCGCCGCCAGAAGAGCAGCGGCAGAAATCCATGTACCCGGGAAGGCTGTATGCGCAGTCCATGTAATAAGGCCAGCTTGCATGGCCGCACTTTGTACATATTGGGCTGGAACGAGCGTGCCTCTTCCTGCCAGCCATGACCCATTTGCTGAAGCACTGGGGTTCTGGGCTATGTGCCACGCTGTGTGGCACTCCTAGGGTTTAGGGTTTAGGGTTTCGGGTTTAGATGTGTGGCCGGAGGACATGTCCTGGGTCGAGGGGGTCACGTTGCTGAGCTCCGAGGGGCAGAACATCATTGCGCCGGCCTCAGGGTCTGTTTGGAGCAAGGAGGAAGCTTGCGATTTTTAGGGGTTCTTAGGGTTTCTGGGCTTTGTTTTTTTTTTGGCGGGGGGGTGGTGTGCGTTTTTAGGGTTTTCCCGGTTTTAGGGTGCTTCCCTACAAGGCAGTCGAGGGCATTGATCTGGACTGATCCTGTCTTGCTACAGACAAGATCGGCTCTGGGAGGCCTTCATCTTGCTGATGGCCTTTCTCCGGGACCACCAGGCGACCTCACGTGGCAGCTTCAAACTCTACACCTACACCCCAATCGGTTTAGGGTTTAGGGTTTAGGGTTTAGAGTTTAGGAAAGCTTGGCAGGAGCTCTACGTGGATGTAGATCTCATGGACGGGCGCATCTACTCCATGAAAGGTCCCGGGGGGCTCGAGTGCCCTGGCCTAACTTTTTCCCTCAAACAGGGCTTCGCCGATGTGCTTTGGTTCTTCGGTTTAGGGTTTAGTGTTTAGGGTTTAGGGTTTTGCAGATGCTTCTCTCGGACTCGATGCGGAAGACCGATGTACAAGCCCTAAACCCTGAACCCTTTCCGGGATTGCTGTCTTGTCGACCTTTGTGGAGGGCATGGATGCTTGAAATAGCCGAAGATAGCATTCGCAGAATTTGCGCCGGATGGCGCGCTGTGAAGAATACCTGCCTGTAGAAAAGGAGGGTTGTCTCGCTCTCTTCCTCTCCCTCTCCCTCTCCCTCTGCCTCTCCCTCTCCCTCTCCCGCTCCCGCTCCCTCTCCCGCTCCCTCTCCCTCTCCCTCTCCGTCCCCCTCCCCCTCCCACCAGAGACTCATGATTCGAGAGAACCCTCTGCATCAATAGGCCATCCCCCTAACCCTCCCAGAAACAAGGCCCAAATTTCAACGTCCCTGAAATCCTGAACCTATTTGAGGCTAACTCCTGGCGAGGATCAGGTTCTTCTCTGCGAGGCACTGCGGCATGTGGAGCACACACTTTTGGCCTGCTGTTTTCACATACGCTTGGAGGCTCTCGGCTGATTTGCTTCTGCATGCTGCGAGGATATAGAAGTCATCAACGATGTGCGAAAGGCTCTGTCCGAGGCTGGCCGATGCATGAATGCTTTCATGCTCAATAGTAGGATTCGTAAAGTCACCCCAAGCAAGACAGCTCAAGCTCAATTCAATGGGCTTATCTTCTGGAGAAGGAGGATTAGAAGACGTTTAGGCTGATTTAGACTAGATGTACTTGGGGAGTTCTGGCATTTTTCTGTTTGCCGCTCTCGGGCATGTAGTTTTCTGCTCCGACTAATCCTCCCATTGCGGGTAGTAGGCATTTGTTTGCTCAGCCGACGCCTAGCAGTGACATCAGTGCATGACAGCGGCCCGAGACTGCAGGCCTTCTATAGCAAAGCCTCGCCAAAGATCACCACCGTGCATGAGGAGGACTGGCATGGCATTCTGCTGAGGTTTAAGGCGAGCTGAGGGAGTCTAGCTCTTTCCAGCGCAATCAGTTTTTTGCCGGGGGTAGGCCCCGGGGACATTTCATGTCTACCCCTAGTAGGTTTAGGAGGACCCTAAACCCTAAACCCTAAACCCTAAACCCTAAACCCTAAACCCTAAACCCTAAACCCTAAACCCTAAACCCTAAAGAGGCTTTAAGGAGCCAGCCCAGCATCGCTTGTGAGGATGGTATCGACTTCTCTGGCACACGAGGAGCTGCCCTCGCTCTGCTGGGCTACGGGGAATTACGACAACAAGGGACCCCTAATGTAAACCCCCAAAATGGTACCCCCTCATGATAATAAGGACCCCAAACAGGTACCCCTAATATCGTAAACCCCCCGTACAGTCTTGACTTTTTGACTTGGAGCGAGGCAGACGCGATGACGAGCCCGTGCCCCAAGTGTCTTCCGAGCTGCGGCCCTAGTGGATTCATGCTGTTTATCTAGGGTTTAGGGTTCAGGGTTCAGGGTTCAGGGTTTAGGGTTTAGGGTTTAGAACTCGAAACCCTATAAGCCCAAAGCTCCCGAGAACCCGTCCGAGAGTCAGTCCCTGAAGGCCCCGGGTGTCGGAAGCTTTGGCCTGCGCCTCACTTGCCAGACAGAACGGGTGACAGAGACGCGCCTCAGTGCTATTTCACACAAGATGCTTAGAGTTCTCGTCACCATGACCCAACACCCCAGTCGCCTAAACCCTATATAAACCCGAAACCCTAAACGCCAAATCCTCAACCCTAAACAGTCGCCCCAAACCCTAAACCCGAAACACTCAATGACCGGCTGTCCCCCCCCCATCCTAAACCCCAAACACCAAACCCCAAACCCCAAACCCCAAACCCCAAACCTCACACCCCACACCCCAAACCCCAAACCCTAAACCCTAAACCCTAAACCCTAAACCCTAAACCCTAAACCCTAAACCCTAAACCCTAAACCCTAAACCCTAAACCTAAACCCTAAACCTAAACCCTGAACCCTGAACCCTAAACCCTAAACCCTGAACCCTAAACCCTAAACCCTAAACCCTAAACCCTAAACCCTAGACCCTAAACCCTAAACCCTAAACTCTTCCCCCCCCCCCCCCCCAATCCAGACATCAGGATCGCCTCCTTTCAGTGCTGCGGGAGTGCTCCACGCGCATGGAAAGCATCGACGATGCTGCTTCGATGAATGTTCAGTCTGCGCTGGGGTCTACTTGAAATTAGGGTTTGGGGTTTAGGGTTTGGGGATTGGGGTCTGGGGTTTAGGGTTCGGGGCGTTTGGGCTCTTTTGCGGTTGTTGCGACCTTGCCGCCTGGCCTGATAAAGTGTGTCAGTCGTGTTTGTGCCGAGAGAGACCAGTATACTACTTGAGCACTGAGAACTAAAAGTCAATTGAGGAAAGAATCTGTGGCCCATCAGGACACATGGAACCAGCGCATCCGCCTGTCCAAGCCGACTCGACAGATCATACCTCTTCATCAGGCGAGCAAGCGGAAGGCCCGGTTTTGGCGATTGGTCGAGATTCGGTTTCACCGTGTGAAGCAGCGCATTACGCACTGTGTCTGGTGGCGGTTTTTGCTTCCTTTCGGGTGTTTTGGCGCGTGCTAGTGCCACAATGGATCTCTGTCCTTAACTAGCCCATGCACAACAAAGCATGGAGCTGGTGACCCAAAAGCCAATGCCTAGTCATGACAATGAGATTTTGGAGGAACGTGTGTCAGTAGTATCCCCGGTATACCGCATGCCTCCACAGTGCTGCATGTGCATTTCAGGATTGATACGACATGGGCCTCAGCACTCAAGTTGCAGGCTTCATCGTCCTCGGATCAGCTCTTCACTCTCTTCGAGCCCCTAGCAGACCTTGAACAGGCGCCGGAATGGGGCACGTTGCCAATGGTTGCTTCGAATTGCAGTACGAAGATCATAGATAGTTGTACTGCGCAGACCATGACCATCGGTAGCGTTCGCAGTTGTTTCCATACAAGATTCCTTTCAATGGGGCTCCTTTTTTTTAAAGGGTTCGGGCCGAAGCCCTGAACCTTAAGCGTTCTTGAGAATCCGGGCCTTAAACCCGAAACCCTAAACCCTACTGCGTTGTGCCCTTGCTGGCATGGTTGCGAAGAACCAAATAGAGAGCTCCTGGGCCCGATCATGATGACGAGAGTTTCGTCGCCTTCCGGCGGGTGCTCCCCAACCGGCACGGTTTGCCTCGATCCTGGCGCCTGGCTCGTGAAAAGAGGCCCCCCTGCTCAAAAAAGAACCCAAGGCCCAGCTTCGGAGTGTGGCTTTGGCCAAACAAACCTTCCGTTTTTGCTGATTTTGTAGGCTTTAGGGTTTAGGGTTTAGGGTTTAAAGTTTAGGGTTCAGGGCTTTTTTCCACCCGCGATCCCCGGCCCGGAAAAATGTTTAAGCCCCGCACAAAAGTGGCCAACGGAGCTACATCGGGAGCGGCGTAAACGCCCCCTTTGTGCCAGGCCCGAGCGGCGGCAGAGCGCCAGGAGCGGGAAGAGGAGCACACGCACTCGAGGGTTTGGGGTTTGGGGTTTAGGGTTTAGGGTTTAAACGCACAAAGCTCACTCATTCCGGGGGCCTGACGTGCTTCTACAACATCGACGAGTTCTGTGGCTTGAAGTCACTATGCCCCCCTTTTGGTCTGGTCCTATTCTAAGCTGCTAGATGCGCTACGCACACCTTCTCAGAGGGGTAGCTTCTGCTGGGGCGAGATTGTGGAGGGATGTGAAAAGTCGAGTCATGCTCGGGGGGGTGCTTGTGAGCAATGGCCTACTTGGAGGTTCATGAGTAATTACGTATGAACCAATTGCAAGGCTTGCCTTCTATCGTGACTACATAACTGTACCTATAGCCCACTTCTAAGCCCCTTAAGTGCCCAAATGTGGCGAAAATTTGGGTTGCAAGTAGAGTTCTAATAGATTTAAAAAGTACCATAAACCTTCAAGTCGGCCGCATGAGCTCTCTTTAGTGTGTGACCTCCGGCTGAAGGGGCTGAGGGATGAAAGGAGGGCTTAAGGGTTGAGGGCTTGTTTAGGGTTTAGGGTTTAGGGTTTAGGGTTTAGGGTTTAGGGTTTAGGGTTTAGGGTTTAGGCTTATGGTTCTCGTGGCCTAAGGGTGGTGCTTATTTAGGCTTGAGCTTGGCCTGCTTTAGAGGCTTCTTTGCTTTCATCTAAGTTCTTTTCAGCCTGGGCTCGCAACTCCTTAGGCAAACGCCCTAAACCCTAAACCCTAAACCCTAAACCCTAAACCCTAAACCCTAAACCCTAAACCCTAAACCCTAAACACTCTTATACACTCTTGCGTTGCCGAGCCAAGCAGTCAAGCACTTATCGAGCACGACTAAGTTGTTCCCGTCTTTTCTGGCTTTTGCTCAGCTTTGGGGTTTTGTGCTGAGTCGGGCTTTCTAGAGGCCTCCTGCTAAGGCAGGAGCTTACTTCGAATTGTCAAGCTTAGCTTTTCCTGTGCTTAGCTGGATCTTCCAATCATCTGTGGAGTAGTTTTGAGTTAGCTACCATCCAAGGCTTAGCTAGCTGGGGCTTGGCAGGAAGAACGCCGGCGGCGAGCCGAAGAAGAGAAACGAAGAAGCATGGGCCTCGATCATAACCAAAGAACTTTTTGAGCCCTAAACCCTAAACCCTAAACCCTAAACCCTAAACCCTAAACCCTAAACCCTAAACCCTAAACCCTAAACCCTAAACCCTAAACCCTAAACATCGCTGTGATGTCATGGGCGTGAGCTCGATGCTTCATGGCTAGCCAGGGTGAGTCAGTTGCGTTTCATCCGGCGTTTTCTCTGTTTGCCTGAAGCGTGTAGGGTTTAGGGTTTAGGGTTTAGGGTTTAGGGTTTAGGGTTTAGGGTTTAGGGTTTAGGGTTTAGGGTTAGGGTTTAGGGTTTCGGGTTTCGGGTTTCGGGTTTCGGGTTTCGGGTTTAGGGTTTAGGGTTTAGGGTTTGGGGTTTAGGGTTTAGGGTTTAGGGTTTGTTGTTCCGAGGAAAAGAGATGGAACGCCAGGCTAAGGAAGAGGCAAGAAGACAGAAGCAGCTGGAGCAGCAGAGGGCAAGAGAGGAGGCGAAACGAGCCAAGGGCAAAGGCCTGGTGGGTTTAGGGTTTAGGGTTTCGGGTTTAGGGTTTCGGGTTTAGGGTTTAGGGTTTAGGGTTAGGGTTTAGGGCGTACGTAGAGACGTAGAGCAGTCCTTCGTTTCACGAGGCATTGCCAGTTTGCCATGAATTCCAGGTAAAGGCAAGGATGAAGCCAAGGGCAAGGGCAAGAAGGACAGGAAGCAGCAGCAACAGCAGGGGTACAACCAGCAGTACCAGCAATACCAGCCGCAGCAACAGCAGCAGCAGCCGCAGCAGCAGCAGCAGCCGCAGCAGAATTCCAAGAAAGGCCGCCGAGGCCGTTCAAGCGCAGAGTGTTGCCCAGGTCTTGAGAACTTTCACAGGTCTTGAGAACTTTCTGGCATTCTTGGATATTTCCCAATATAAGGAGGTACCCATACCCCACAGAAATTCGAATCCCCTTGAAAGGGACGCCCCAAAAGGGTTACCCCTAGTTTCGGAAGCCCCCTCTTAGACTCATAGACCGGCTGTCTCAGCAAGCTTCGAAGCGTTTAGGGTTTAGGGTTTAGGGTTTAGGGTTTAGGGTTTAGGGTTTAGGGTTCAGGGTTCAGGGTTCAGGGTTCAGGGTTTAGGGAGAGAGGAGCAAGCACTTTGGTTATTGGTCTTTGGGATTTTATACGAGGGGGTCTCACCCCACACCTCATCAGGATATTGGCTAGAGAATGGATAAGGTTATGGGTTTAGGTGGTTGCTTTGGTTTAGGGTTGTGCTATTGGATTATTGCATTGTTTTGGGAGGTGCTCTGTGCATTGCGGGTTTTGAAGGGTTGAATTGTTAGGCGGTTTGAGAAATGGGTTGAAAGCGTGGGGGAGAGTGTAGGATGTGAGGTCTGGGGTCAGGGCGGCGCTTCGGATTTTGTTTTGTGCGGTGTTGTGTCGGGAGGTGCTTTGGCTTTTGGATTGTATTTGGGGTTTGGGCGTGGGATTTGGGAGGTGCTTTGTGTTTTGGATTGTATTTGGGATTTCGGCGTGGGATTCGGGAGGCGCTTCGCGTATTGCAGGTTCGAAGGGTTGATTTATTAGGTGGATTGAGAATTGGGGTGAAAGCGTATGGGGGTGGGGGTATTGGATGTGAGGTCTGGGGTCAGCTACTGCTTGCTACAATAAGGGGCCCCCTAATATAGTCCCCCCAAACGAAGGATTCCCTCCAAGAAGTTGCCCTAATTTCGGACTCGTGGGGTCTGAGCTCTCAACCAAAACAAATCCCTAAACCCCAAACCCCAAACCTTAAACCCTAAACCCTAAACCCTATACCCTAAACCCTAAACCCTAAACCCTAAACCCTAAACCCTAAGCCCTAAGCCCTAAACCCTAAACCTGAACAGGTGGTGGCCAGCCGGGCCCCTCGAGTTCGGCGGCTGCAAGCAGCGGGGACGCGGCATTGCAGCAGGTGCCGAGACCGGTGAAACATCCGACGGTGGATGTTCCCCCTTTTTTATTCCCAGGAGGGCTTTTCTAATATTTTAGAATAGGGTTTAGGGCTTAGGGCTTAGGGTTTAGTGTTTTTTTAGGGTTTAGGGCTACTTGGAGGCCCATGGTACTTATTAACCAATGATAGCTGTACTTAGAACTGCACTTACAACCATATTGGGGGACTTAACGAGCTTGTAAGTGGGTTATAAGTACAGTTATATTTGGTTAATAAGTACCATGAACCTCCAAGTAACAGTTTCTAACAAGTCCTTAATAAGGATTATGGTATCCTATATGCTTTGGGTTTAGGGTGAAGTTTAGGGTTTAGGGTTGGGATGTTGCCCTTGCAAGCAGTCCTTTACAGGGATTATGGTACGGTACCCTATATGGTAATCTGATAGTCCCTGTTAAGGACTACAGGTACTAACAGTCCTTAGTCGGGATGATAGTACCCTTATATTAATCCCCATTAAGGACTGCTCGTAAACGGGGGGGAGCATCCCAACATCCGACGGTGGTTTTCGTTTGAGATCTTGACGACTCCTCGCGAAGCCGGTGCATGCTCAGTTGTGGGCTTGTAGGCTTGTAGGCTTGGAGGTAGGGTTTAGGGTCCAGGGTTTCGGGTTTAGGGTTATTTAGGGTAGAACGGGCGTATAGCTGCATCTCAAAATGGAAAATCGAATGGTAGCCTGGAAAGCACCTGGAAGCGTGTAACTACCTCGTTACGTAAACCCTTAGACCTTTGCATCTCCCAAACCCTAGTATACCAACTCCCCCGGAATACTATAGTCATTCCTTATTGGGCCGTGTACACCTAAACCCTAAGCCCTAAACCCTAAACCCTAAACCCTAAACCCTAAACCCTAAACCCCGAACCCCCAACCCTAAACCCTATGTTCGGAAACCCCCACGTGTCTGTGCTGGTGAGGTCTACACAATGCCAGATTTGCCACCCGACTGGGTCGCGGTACCCGACCAGCAACTCGTCCTGCAAAGGATGTACAGGGTTTAGGGTTTAGGGTTTTAGGTTTTAGAGTTTAGGGTTCGGATTCTGAGACTGAGCCGCTCCCAAGTGTCATCCAAGGGCGTCTGGACGGTGGCTCGGCAGGGAAGTCAGGGGGTAAACCCTAAACCCTAAACCCTAAACCCTAAACCCTAAGCCCTAAATAGGCGACTGAGGCGACTGAGGCGCGAGATGTGAACGTACCAGGATGGGCTATTAGACCTTATCATCCCCATCATGAACCCTATAAAGGGCCTTTTCAGGGATTATAGGGTATAATGGCCTCTATAAAGGGATTATAGGGTACAATAGCCCATCCTGGTACCTGAACCTGGCGATCTGGAGGCCGTACTTCTGGAACCCCACCACCGGTGAAGTGACCTGGTCCAAGCCGGGTATGATGATGCCGCCCATGCCAATGTTTCAGCCCCCAATGTTTTTCCAGCAGTAGACGCGTGTCGGATTGCAAAGGCAGCTTCGCATGCTTAAGTGGCAGAGGGCCTGCAACGTGATGGGGGACGGCTCTATTGAAGCCCATATGGGTTTCTCCACCTGCAGAGCGGAGCTGCCGGTTGCAATTTCGAGTAGTTCTTACCTCATATGGCGAGGCAGACCTCATTGTTTCGTGCTGTCGATGCCTTACACTTTATATATATATATATGTACACATAGATCACACTCGGCCTTAATGCACAGCTGGCCTGCTTCGCAGGTTCAAGAGCATGGTGTGTGGGGATGACGGTGCTCACAGGGGTTAGGCTTAGCCACTGATATCCAGTCCACGGTAGTTTCGAACTCAGCACCTGTGCTGTCAACACATGCCAGGTGTCGTGACATGTCGGAATAATCGTTTCATAGCTCGCAGTCCAGCCGAGCTTCAGCTCAAAAGAGAGTGGTTATGCTTAGTCGAGCCCAGCAGCGCTGACGTGATGCTGTTTTGCACAACCCTGTGGGCAGGCTGTAAAACATCCCTTTACATTTTCTCTCCGAAGCAGCTCAGAGGCTCAAGAAGCCTCCAAGATGAGATGGGATGTGTTGAACGGGTGTTGAAACAAGAAATGCACATAGACAGTGTCGGGATCCAACTAAACTCTTGCCACATAGCGTAGAGATCACTCGAGAGCTCTCTGCCTTTCTCTGGAGACCCTGGAGAAAGAAGGCCTTTAATTCATGTCGGAGGGCGGCCCGGGCCAAGGCGGCCAGGGCGGCCAGGGTGGCCAGGGTGGCCAGGGCCAGGGCCACAGTGGCCAGGGTGGCCACGGTGGGCAGGGCTTGGAGGTGGACGACGAGTTTCGGGACTTGGGCCCCGAGGCAGCCTGGTCCTTGTCCTCAGCCAAACAAGGCAACGGATGCTGGGCAAAACTTAAGCAGCCTAAGCAGGAACTGTAGTGTCATCACAACTCTGAGCTTTACAGTCCTTGCTGGACCAACTCGAGGGCACAGATTCTGATTGAACATGCAACCTTTCGAAGCCCTGAGCCCTAAGAAGCCCAGGAGTGGAGCAACTGCGTGATGGAAGTACTGACACCTTCTGGCAATCAGACGGGCCTCAGTCCTGCTCTCAAGTTCCTCATGAAAGTTCTGCAGCATTGCGAATACCCTGGGTAGTCTGTATATTAACCTATTGTACAACTTGTGTACCGTTCCAGTACGTAGCAGATATCCAGCTGATGCCAAGCAGGGGTCTGGCCGGATTTCGAGTTGCGGTTCAGGTTCCGGTCAAACCCCAAGGTGCTGGCTTTTGTGGGTGCACTGGAAGCAATGGTATGTTGCTGTGGAGCTTGCTCACTTGGCGTACCTTTACACTGCTGGAGGGCGAGTGTATCTTGAGTCTTGCGTCCTCATCCGAGGCCGCACCTCATTAACATCCAGTTCCAACGCAAGGCAAGGCCCCTGTGAGCTGTTTTGTCCAAAAGTCCACTTCCCACCTTGACAGGTCAAGGTCAGCGAAATATGCTTTTACGTGTGCTTCAAGATTGACGAGCCACACACCGAGTCATCGTGACTTGTTGTTGCGTCGTGCTGGAGAATGTTGGAGCATCTGCAGCTTAGGGCATCTGCGCACCAGCTGTGAGGTCATACACGCCCTCGCGAATCTCAGTCCGGATAGGCACCGCGCATCACGACTTACAAGAGGCAAGCAGCTAGGATCGAACCGTCTCACTGTTGTGCTTTCACCTCCGCCATCTGTGGGCAGGTGCAGGTCATTGAGCTCAAAGAGCCGGATGGTGCAGTGCTGTGATCGGGAGTGGGATTTCCAGAGTCGGTGGAAGTGTATGTCGCATCTTTAAGATGTCATTGAAGCTTCTGCTTGCCTGGACATTGCCTGTTTGCCGCATTGATGCTTGCGCCCTTCTCAAGGTTGGATCTCCATACCACTTGCCAAATCGAGCTTCCGACCTACGGACGCCTGGTGATGTTGGGCCTATCTACCTGTTGATGGTTCCGTAGAGGTGCATTCACCACAAGTCCAGGATCACAGAGTGGACAAGAAGGGCAGGACGCGTCTAGGTTCTTCAAGCCCAGCATAGGAAGACGTGTCCACTTTGCACCAAATCCAGCCATCCAACAGGGAACTGCTTGGCCAGGGTAGACTAGCGGACATGGGAGGACTGTCATTTGGAAATCTACTGCTCGCTTCAGGCAGATAATGTATATATCTATATATATATATATATGTGGAGATATTGCACGGATGATGATCGGCCAGTTCCTCCCCTCCCAACACCAGCAAGAGTGCCGCCAGATGGAGTGCCGTTTTTGCCATGTGCGCGAGCGCAGGTTGAGCGTTGGTGTTCACCTTGTTTGGTGGCGTTTTTTGTGTGCAACCATGGGGTCAGAGAGGCTGCATCTAGCTACATCAGTCCAGCCATCAGTGAGGAGCTTCCAGCAAGTTGCACCTTGCGCGATGCCGACATGGGGGGTGCTCGGGAATTTGTCCGGACGCATTTCATCCAGCAGCCTGGACCAAATTTGCAGCACGACGTGACAAGTGGAACCTCTAAACAAATGTGGGTAGACTGCACGCGCAGCTTTGGAGAACAAGGTTGGCCGTGCTGACCAACCATCAGTTCCTTGTCATGTACCAGGGAGGTTTGGGATGCACATGGGTTCATGGATGTTCACGGGATGTCCATGGGACACATGGTGAACAGAGTGATGGGGGAAGGTGTGAAAGAGTGGCCTAAGGAACGGACGCGACACGCATATCCGTCAAATCAAGGCCGAGCTCCTCAACCTGAGATTTTGGAGCATTTATTGGAGAAATCTGCCTCGTTAGGTGCTTGGCCCCCGAAGCTCCACGCGCTCGATCGCGGAAGTGCCACGGGAGGTTCGTTTCCTTTTGCTTTGGGGTCCTCATGTTAATCGGCTCACTGAGACCTGTGAGGTGTGCCCTCTCAAGCTTCAGACGCGCGATCTGATGCAGTTCGCAAGCGTTCGATGAAAAAGCGCGCTCTGAAGTACGTCGAGCCATGGCCACATTGCTTCTTGATCTTTGAACATCCTGGGCAACGTGTGGTAACAGTTGGACCTGTGCAGGTGCTTCGACATGCACCGACTAGGACAGGTCAATGCTCAGAGGTATGTCCATGACCAGAAGTACTCGAACTTGAAGTAGTGACACGGCTTGGGAAGGCTTGGTGTAAGCATGCTCGAGAGCTCTCCACCAAGGCACCATTAGGCTCCGCGCATGCTAAATTTCGGAAGCCCCCCATATCAGCAGAAAGTAAGAAGCTTTGGGCCGCCAGCCATGTAATCTTGTCAGCTCGACTGTAATCGGTCTTAATCGTCAAGCTGATGCACATCCGCATACCGTGCAGCAGTTAAGCAATAAGAGTCGTCGTGCGGCCTCCCCTGCGGAGCTTCAGCCTTTGACCCAGTTTGGTACACCTAAAGATTCTTGAGTCATGCGCTGTGCAAGCGGCGCAGTTCTGGACAAAGCTCGCAAGGTTGGCCAAGCGTGGCGGGCTTCGGAAGTGGCAGGAGGTTCTGCGATGGGAGGGGGTGGGGGGCGTAGGCGGGAGGGGCACGGAAAAGCCTAAGATGTATGCGGTTTTTTGTTTAACTTCTGCGTAAGTGTTTAAATAGCAGCATGCAAGAGTATTCACCGGCTTGACGCGCCCTATTCTACGGCGGCAGAAACCAGTTGCTGAAACGTGAGCATCCGCGCCTGGGTCAGTTGCGAGTCAGGTGATGAGGAGTTCTGTTGGTTCAGGGTTTAGGGTTTAGGGCTTAGGGCTTAGGGCTTAGGGCTTAGGGCTTAGGGCTTAGGGCTTACTAGGCTTTAGGGTTATTCATTCGAGTTCGATCCATCAAAGCCCATGGGCGTGGGCGTGAGACTCGCCATGGGGATCAAATATGCAATGCACCCACGGCTGTGCACGCTGTGCCGGAAGCTTGTTGCAGGCTGGCACTGAAAAGGTGGCCAAAGGCCGGAGGTCTAAGGGGTGTTTGGGACTCATACTTGCAAGCTCGTGTTTCATGTGAGGTCGTTCTGCCGAACTGAGAAAGGGTGCGCTTGTTTCCAGGTGTGCACCCTGGGCACCACCAGCAACATGAGCGTTCCGTGAGCCTCCTGCTGGCAGCAGCCATCCTTTCTGATAGCGATCTTGCCATACAAATCGAAGAGGGCCCCAGAGTCGAGGTACACCTGTGTGCCCATCCTGCCCCACTTTGGCGCAGAGGTGGGGGGTCTTTGGCTGTTTCGGCATCCGCAAAGATCCCAATCTTAGCAGAGGTTCGGGGCTTTTCCTTGGATGGCCATGAGCCGCTTGCAGCAGACGTCGTGCAGAGGAGTCGGAGCAAAGTGTGAGTCGCTCGTGGAAGTTCTTTGGCATTGTTTACACCTACGCCAATTGCAAACGCAACGAGACGGAGCCTGTCGAATGATTGTGCATGATTCTGCATTCCTTACTTACAGCCCAGAGCTTCTTGCAGGATCAAGGAGGACATGAAGATCCACAGAGTTTTGGTCTTCAAAGGTCAAGGCCGAATCAGTGGAGAAAGACAGGCCGGAAACAATCGGACAACCACGGGCGCTCTCCCTAACATCCCTGTGTTGTCCTGGGTTGTCCTGTTCTGGTTTGAGCTTAGTTCTGGTCTGGCATCTGCCACCAGGCAGCTTTTCTTGCCTGAGATGCGGAGAAAGTGTGACATCTCGAGCTACGGGCTGTTATTGTGCACGAGACTCCTGGGCACGTACTGGCCCTGACTTTGAAAAGCGCTACCTGAGGATGAGAGCATCATGCACCCGTGCTCTGTTGTAGGTTCAGCTGTCGCAGCAGCTGGGCACTGCTACTGGGATGCACGAAGAAGTACTAAAAGCTGTCAACCACGCATCACCCCCCTTCACCCTAAACCCTAAACCCTAGCCCCTAAACCCTAATCCCTTCATTGCTTGCCAAGATTGAGAGCACTTTCTACAAGCATCCCAGGAGCTTGGGCCCCAGGCACATGCACGTCCCCCAAGATGTATGGGGGTTTCCGGGAGACGCCGTTTCAGGGTTTAGGGTTTAGGGTTCAGGGGGGGTTCCGATAATAAGGCTTGTAATTTGGGGTATTTTGAGGGTATCTCGCCTCCCCTCCCCGACCCCGCCCTTTTCGGGAAGCACCCATATCAAGCAACATGTGGCCAAGGTCCGCATCCCGACATCTTCCGTGTCTCCAACGATGATCCTTTGCGCCTACTAGTCGTTCGTTTGGAGTAAATTTGCGCTTGAGGCACGGGCTGAGGGGACAGAGGGGACAGATGTCAACCTCAGGAAAGGGAAGGCTGCGTTGGAGTGGGGCGTCCACCTCAGCTATGTGAGCTCATTCCTTCTGTTTCACTGTGCTTCTCAGCTGCTGTGACACTCCCTGACAAGCCGCGGTACAATGAAAGGAGGACCGGGTGGCATCTGGATGGCACCTTCCAAGCACAGCCGCAGCCCAAAGACTACATGACCGCGGCCTCCAGTCCCTGAAGTCACTTTGGAATCTCCGAGCTTTGGAGGCCCTTCAAGTACCAGACCATGCACTTCCACAGCGTTTGTCAGGGTGGGGAGACGTGGTTGGGATCCCAATGATCCCAATTCGTGAGTCGCATCTCCGAGACTGCTACCACTGAAGTAGCGGAGTGCTCCGTGGTGAGGTTCGTTCCCCTCAAAGAGTTCTATGAGATGCAGGATGATGAAACAAGGGCTCGCCCGGTTCCCTGTGCAGCTCAAGACATCGCATTGCGCCCTCGCAGGATTTCTTTGGCAGTGCTGTGGCCCACCCACCCAAAGGCCCAGCAAGCATTGATGCTAGGTCCAAGTATTGTAATGCCCTAAACCCTAAACCCTAAACCCCAAACCCTAAACCCTAAACCCCAAACCCTAAACCCTAAACCCTAAACCCTACGTGTGGCCAAGGCTGGGACAGATATTGGATGGTCACTCGGGAGGAACTTGCGCATCCTCTGGTCTACCGCCACCCGGTGCGACAGGCCCTCGGTGTAGGGTTTAGGGTTTAGGGTTTAGGGTTTAGAGTTTAGAGTTTAGGGTTTAGGGTTTAGGGTTTAGGGTTTAGGGTATAGGGTATAGGGTATAGGGTATAGGCGCCGCTTGATGTGATGGCATGTGTTCTTCGGAGCTGTGCAACTTTTGCGCAAATGTCTGCTGCAGGATACCACAATGATGTTCCACTGCGGCGCTCATTTTTGCCGTGCATGGTGTGTGGCCGGAGACCGAGTTGTTTTTGCAGGACCCCTTAACATTTTCTCGTGGCGTCTGTCCGAGGATGGAGATGCCGCTGCGCCAGCTGAGAGGCCTTGAAGCGATGTGCGAAGCTGTGCGAAGAGCCCCCTCGGCAGCTAGTCTAGCTGCTCGCTGGGCCAATGATGTTCAGTCTCAGCAAAGTGGATCCCAGTTCGCGAGGCGGCCGCAGCACATGCTGCCCGGGAACGTGGTGCAGGAGCACTGTGCAGAACCCAAAAGCCTCAAAATGTGATGCAGCTTTAGGGCTGGAATGCCAAGAGGAGCAGGAGATAGGAGGAGGCAAAAGATACTTCATGCATAATTTGCATAATCACAAAAGGTTCACTTGATGACAAAACGTGCCAGTGGTCGTAGTAAGCAAAGGAATCATACAATCTTGCGAATGCAGAAGTGAGAGGACGAGCTCAGTGAGGCGCTGGACAGAGCGGTTGATAAGATCGGCATCAAGATGCGCTGGGAGGCTCCGTAAAGTCACAGGAAACGCTTGCTCTGCTTAAAGCATTCTGTTGTCAGTGCTTATGTAGGGACACTATGTGCACATCAGGAAGGAGACTTTGCCATTAATGACAACCTGGGCAATTGCCATGCTCTCAGCTCGGGTCAGACCCTGAAATACAAAACGAAGTAGGTAAAGCAAGCTCCCATATCGAAAGCCCCATGCTGCAGACATAGCGAAGCTGTGAACCCCTTAGGAAGCCCGCTTTGCATGTCTCTTGTCTACGAATCGATGTTCTCAGTCTGCAACGCTCCCAGGCCATTATGCATCCCCTGGCACCCAGAATCCGAAGAGCAGAGCTGGGCTCAGGCACGGCGTTTGGTTGTGTGTTGCACGAATACAATGATACTCTCGTCTTTGCTGGAGGTGTGTGCGGGACGGCCCTTTAATATTCCTAAGTTCTTCTCTGTATTATCCCCTTTGGGAATTATTTCATTTTTGTTTGTATAAAACCCAATATTAAACATATCATTTTCATTAAGGTTTTAAGGGGAGTATAGTTCTAGTCAAGCCTATTCTCCGGCTCGCTTGCCCTGCTTGGGAGCAAGAGCTGTGGATCTGCTTCGGGTCGGAGGGGTCGGGTTTGCAGGCCGAGCGCACCCTGGTTGATCCCCCCACATATATAAATATATGTACATATCATAAAGAGTAAAATCAAATTATATGAATAGAACAATATAGCAATGCAAAAAAACTATACAATCATATATACATACGAAATAAATATAAACTAGTACAATAACAACGTAGCCAAATAAAAAGTCGTGGTATGATAATACGATACCAACCAAGAGTACAATGGATGCATGGACATGATTATAGAGGTTGCAGCGGAAACCCTAAACCCTAAACCCTAAACCCTAAACCCTAAACCCTAAACCCTAAACCCTAAACCCTAAACCCTAAACCCTAAACCCTAAACCCTAACCCCTAAACCCTAAACCCTAAACCCTAGACTTGTGCCTATGTGTTTGCTCGCATCCTGCCACTGTCAGACGTCTCGGTCGATGCTGTTCACACTGCACTTTGCCAGTCTTGCGGCTCCATCGGCTTCCGGCGAGTGCCCCCCCTAAACCCTTAAAGTTTAGGGTTTAGGATTTAGGGTTGAGGGTTTAGGGTTTAGGGCTTAGGGTTTGGGGCAGTTTAGGGTTTAGGGTTTCGGGTTTAGGGAAACCCTAAACATCCTTGAGCTCCTTGTTGCCAGGATCTTGCATCGAACAACAATCGCGGGAGAAGACGTGCCTACAAAGGCAGATGGGCGCCGAACGTTCTACTTGAATCATCCGCCTTAAAAACGGATGCGCTCATGTACCGACTTCTGCTTCGCCTTGCCACGCCATGCATTGATGGGTTTGGGTTTAGGGTTTAGGGTTTAGCGTTTAGGGTTTAGGGTTTAGGGTTTAGGGTTTAGGGTTGCTTGCACACACGCAGAGCTCTCGCACATGCTTGTGCTTTCCGAAGCATCGTGCCTCAAGTAAACGAAACGTCGTAGGCAGGCAACCGAGTCGAACTGCCTTCGCTGCCCAGCTCAGGCTCGAATGCAACCTCACTAGGGTTTAGGGTTTAGGGTTTAGGGTGTAACATGTTGCATTTGCTGTGCCACGACCAAAGCCAGCACCAGGTGCCATGGCGGATGGGCAAGTTGTTACCGCGGCGTATGCGCCCATGGATGCGGGCCTAAAAGCTGCAAATGCAGAAATTCGTCGAGGCTTCGTGCAGAAAGTGCATCTTGCCTGCATGTCTGAAGGTAAGTGCAATCCAAAACTGGACATTCAATATGCTTCAGAATCTTTATATCCTGCACAGAGCAGATCCGGCGAGTATCTTGGGCGCGGTCGGGCCACCTATCTTGTGGTTGGATGTTTTTGGATTCTTTGGCTGTCCACAGCAATGAAGCAGCATTCAAGATGCCACGCGAATGACATCAAACGAGCGTCTGCTGGTAAGTGCGAAGAAACATTCGTAAGAAGCATACGCAACCAGTGCAGAAAAGCTTAGGCATCAAAAGAGCAACCTTTAAAAAAGGATAAACAAAAGCACTGAAAACACAGAACCTTAAAACCAACAAAAACAACAATAAGAATAAGACAGACGAAAGCGGACGGCCGGTGCCTCCCATGCTGCGGTGCGGCTCCGATTGGGCCCGGAGCTGGTTGCCAGGGCTTCCGGTCGCGGCTTAGTCGGATGTCCGAATGGACCCCAGCCACTTTGAGGCGAAGAGCTTCCTTGTGGACCACACTGCGGCTTAGCTTGAGGGAGCCCTGAGCCCGAAGCCCTAAACCCTATAGACCCTACTGTGAATCCTAAACCCTGGGCCAAGAACCCAGAAATCCAGCAGGAAGCCAGCCTGAGCCCCTCAACCTGGAGTGTTGCTACCGCGTGCTACCAGTAGCCCACATGCATCGGGTGCTTGGATTTCCCCCTTCCCAGTCCCAAGACAGCAAGCATAGGATCGAGGTGGGTGTCAGCCTGGGATTCAAGTTTCGTGCGGTTTTTCTGACGTGCCTATAGCAGTGGTTGGCATCAGATTTGGCTTATTCTGGCCTGCAAGACCACATCTGCACACACACACACACACACACACACACACACACACACACGCTTGCAGTACTGCGCAAACCTGATGTAGGTGTCGGACTCGCTTCAGAGATCCATCCAGCGATGTCGGGGTAGTAGCATGTAGCAAAGGGGTAGGGTGGCATCTAGTCTTGAATGTGATAATGGATGCCATCTCTTGAGTGAAAGGTGGAGAGTTTGGGCCTTGTCTTTGTGGCCCTCCCACCATTGCCACCACCCGCCGTGGTGGTCAAGCAGGCACAGAATGGGCTGTGCAACGTGCACTGTGGCAAGCATCCTTCAATCCTAAACCCTAAACCCTAAACCCTAAATTCCTATACCCTAAGCCCTAAATTCCTATACCCTAAACCCTAAAGTCCTATACCCTAAACCCTAAACTTTCAACCCTAAACCCTAGGGTTTCGGGTGCTTCAGGTGCCTTAGGGTCCAGGGGCTTCTGAGCATTTCTGCTCTCTCGGACTCTCGGATATACTCTCATGGCATGTCTCTCGTGGGTTTCCGTTTGTGTCGTGAGTCTTGGTCACTTGGGTCAGGTGCACGAGGGCACCTGGGCGGCAACCGCTGGGCCGCGCGGCGCCTGATGGACAAGTTTTCTCATTGTTCTGTTCAAGGGTCTAAAGTTGATTTTGTCTCTTCTGTGACAGTTGCCCAATATTTCCTGCTTGCTACGAGCTACATGCGCTTCGATGGGACTTCCCTTCATTCCTTGCATGTCTGGGGCCTGCCCCGACCGAGGATCCAGCCTGGCTGCGAGGTGGTCGAGCTTGGTGGCAACATGGTGGGGGCCATGACGGGCGAGCAGTTCGAGGCTGCCATGAGCCAGAGGCCCTTGCGGATACGCGTGCTGCCCCCGAATGCTGCCGTGTGGCAGCAAGTCGCACACTTCCAGAAGCAGGTGGTGCGGCTCAGTTTTCAGAAGGTTTTGCTGCAGAAGGCATTGCGTGATGAACACGACAACCTCAAAAAGGAGCTCGGTATAGACAGCGATGTGGAGGCCAAGCAAAAGGCGCGAGCCAGCTTAGCTCGTGCAGACATTGCCGGCCAAAGGACGCAGCTAGAGCGACGGAAGCAGGAGGTTGCAAAGCAGGAAGCCGAGCTGGAGACAAAGCGCGAACAAGCCGCTGCCTTCGATCAGGAGACGCAGACACGCAGGAAGGCTTTAAAGGCAGACATGGCCCATCTCGCCTCCCAGCAAGCAGAACTGGAGAAGGCTCGGCATGACTTCGACACCATGCGCAAGACGAAGCTACATCCCCCTTGGGAATCATTTCTTATTTTTGTATATCTAAAACCCAAGAGGAAATTTAAAATGTCGTTTTTATTAAGGTTCTAAGGGGAGTATAGGAAGCTCGAAGCTCTGGAGAAGGAGCGGCAGCTGCTCTCAGCCGAGCGCACGGAACTTGAAGCGAAGAGGGACGAGGTGCTGGTGGAACAGAGTGAGCGCGAGGACCTGGATGCAGAGTGGCAGCGCCTGCGAGAGGAGCGCGAGGAGTTTTTGTCACAGAAGGCCGAACTGGAGTCGTTCGTTCAGAAGGCTCAAGGTCAGTTTCGTGACCTCGATGAGGAGCGATTGGCCTTGGCACGCTCACGCGAGGAGCTTGAGGACGATGTCATGCAAATGTCACAAGCGAAATCTGAACTGCAGGCGCAGCGCAGCCGCGATGCAGCGTTCCACGAAAACTTGGAGAAAGAGGCCCTGGCTTTCAAGGAAGCTTGCAACACGACGAGGATGGAGCTGGAAGCAGAGCGCATGAAGCTGCAGACTCAGCAGCAGACGCAGCAGTCGCAGCTTCAGAAGGAGAGGGAGGAGTTCAAAGCCAAGTGCAAGCATGCCCTGCAGCAGCTTGAAGCCAGAAAGCGCCAGCTTTTGCAACTCCAAAAGCAGCTGGCGGCGGAGAAGTTAGCTGCAGAACAGGCTCGCAAGGATCAAACGGATCAAGCAGAGCAGACGCAGCACAAAGAGCAGAAAGATGAGGCGACTCAGGTCGAGGCATGCGCCGTTGTCACCGTCGAGGCATGCGCCGTTGTCACCGCCGAGGCCTGCGCGCAGGCCTGCCCTGAGAGCTCCGAGGTGCAGGTGCAGACGGTGCAGACGCTTCAGACGGTCTCCAGGACCTTGCCCGGAACCGAGGTCGGTGGAGAACGTGGAGAACACGACCCCACGCTGCATCCAGCGCAGGGCGCTTGGCTCGAAGACAAAGCGGCCCAGGATGTCGGGAGCCGTGGCCGCGTCACCACGGAGGTGCTGATGGATGCTGACCGTCTTCGTGCCGTGGATCTTACAGCACACGTCCACACCTTGCTCCAAGCCCGCAAGGTGGATGCACACTGCATGCGGAACTTGAGCCAGCTCCTGCAGGACATGGTCCGGTCACCACGGGAGGGCAGTGAGCTCCCCTCCGAGTCGGCCTCCACAAGCAAGCTGAAGCAGAAAGGATCCGATGTTCGGAGCTTCCGAGCTCTGAGGCCACAGTCGGAGTCTCCACGGCCTCGTCCCCTCTCGAAAGACTCGAAGGAGCGGCCCTGGCGTCCGGTCGGACACCGGCCAGGCCCCGCAAGCCCCGCGAGCCCAGCGAGCCCAGCAAGCCCTGCTCCGCAAGAGCTTCCCCGCCACGAGGGGGTCGCCAAGAAGGCGCTGGCGCAGACGGCTGACGTCCGAAGGCTGCTGGCGGAGGAGCTCAGGAAGCCGAAGGAGTTCAGAAACACCTCCAGGTCACAGCTGCCTGATTAGATAGCAAGACTCTTGCGCATCTTCTTTTTTCAAGCACGGGTGTGGATCTATCTTTGTTTTTCGATCTTCTCGCATGCCACGCTCTACTGTCTGCAAGTCGAGAGCCGTCCTCCGCCGAGCCCCCGAGGTCGAAGCCCCGCCAGGACCTCCTGCGGTCTGCTTCCCGGGCCAAGGCTGAGCGGCCCTTTGGAGCCTCCTTCGGCTCCGCTGCGCCGGCTGCGCGGAAGTCGTAGCAGTTAAAACACAAGTGAAGTAGGCTTGGAGCCAAATCAATCACGCACAATGTACGTTCCTGAGTTATGTCTTGCCATATCTGCTTTGCTTCTGACGGAGCGCAAACGCCACAAGCCGAAATGGGCGGCGAGCTCTCGGAAGAGACAGCCGCTGTTATTGAACCTGCCTCAGGATCCCCTTGCTTTGTACAAACCCCGCTTGTGCCGCCGGATGAAGCCGCCCACTGCAAAGTAGTGTGGCAGATGAGGAGTTCCTGAGGCATGCTATCGCGGCAGCCAGGGGCGGACACGCCGTGGTTCCTGTGCACTACTGATGAAGATGAGGGTTTCCAACAATGGGGGTACCCTTTTTGGGGGTCCCTTTGAGGGGATTCTACTCTAGCTGGGGTAGAAAAGGGTTACTTGGGGAAATACCCAAGTGATGGTAAGGGTGCCACAATGTGCTGCAGTCTTCCTCTGGCAGCTGTGATGGCTTTATAGCACATCGACTGTCTCAATTCTGGAAGCCAGACGAAAAATGCTTGGACTGCTTGCTTTGGACCCTCCCGAAGCAGGCCGCGCGAGCATGGGTTGCCTGATGTTGACCCAGGGGAGCTTCTTCTACCAGTATACAAATATACATATGTACATATATATATATACGTATCTAATATAATACTGAAGAATTAAAAGTATCACCAAACTCTATAAACAGGGATGGCATCCGATGATGTCTACCCAGGTACGGCATCCTCTCAGCCCAGCTCCTGCTGACGATCGCAGTGGCGTATCCTTTTGCCTGCATGGATGAGCAGCTTTTGAAAAAGTACGAGTGGATCCCCATACTGCCGCTGCCTGGGCCGGATCTGAAGGGGTTAGCTATTCGGCCTTGTGCACACCCTGCATGGCCAGCCGCTGAGGTCTCTGTGCGTTCTTGTTGGCTTTGCTTGCGTGATGCGTTGCACCTCGGCATCCATCAGCCCTGTAGGACATGAAGCGACGAAATAGGCCCTTGCTTTTTGAAGCGGCGTAGTGTGGCTTTTGCCAAATCACCCCTGGGCCCGGAAGCAACTTCCTTTCAAAATTGAAGACAGCTCAGGCGCGAGAGAGACTATGCGAACATTCCCGACGACCCGCAGCTGCAAGTAGATTCCTCGTTGCGTTGAGCTTTGCGCCGCGACTGTTGCGGTAGATTCAGTTAGCAGGTTAGCCCGGTCAAAGGCAGGATGTCGGGCGCAAGTGTCAAGGTTGAAAGTTTGATATCAAACGTGGGACATGGAAACATCCAAAACTCAGCGCTCAATAGTAAAGCAATGCTTCAGTTCACACTTTAATGGTTCCAAGTGACGTGAGGGCTTGGCTGACTTCTAAACGACCTTGTACCAAGAGTTCTGGAGCAGAAGATGGGTAGCATTCCATCAAAGATTGCTCAAATTGCTTCGAAATTCCCCCAAGCCCTAAAACCCCAAACCCCAAACCCCCAAACCCCAAACCCCAAACCCCAAACCCTAAACCCTAAGCCCTAAACCCCATGTCGAAGGAACTACATCTGCCTTGCAGTCTTCACCGCTGCCTTCGGCGTCACTACCGGGCTGGCTTGCCGACAATACTCGGCCGCCTGGGTTAGGGTTTAGGGTTTAGGGTTTAGGGTTTAGGGTTTAGGGTTTAGGGTTTAGGGTTTAGGGTTTAGGGTTTAGGGTTTAGGGTTTAGGGTTTAGGGTTTGAGGTTTAGGATTTGGGGTTTAGGGTTTGGGGCTTAGGCCTTAGGGCCTAGGGCTTGGGCCGCCATTGGACCTTAGAGGCGTAAGTTGTTTTTGGGGGGTCCTACAAGATGAAGTAGCGCGTTTTCTTCTCGGGGAGGGAGAGGGGGAACATGAGAGTCGAAAGGGTGCCCCATTGAACGGCTTAAGCAAATTCCGGCCGAGGCTTGAACACGGGACTGGCCAGACCATGCCTCCAGATTTTCTCATGGGTTCAGGTTGAGCGTTCTCTCAGGTTTGCTGGGCTTCGAGCGTCTTGGCGCCGTGTAGCGTAAAGGGGTTACAGGCTTCGCGGCGTTGAGGATCGACCCGAGAGAATCAGAAGTCGGCTCAGAGACCAGCCACATGAAACCGGGCCCATACACCAAAGACTTAAGCAGTTCGACCCCAAACACCCTGCCTGTAGCGTCTCGCTCGCAAAGCTTGACATGAATGGGAAAGGCACCAGTCATCTTCGCTGCGATGGGCATTACGGCAGCACCTGGGCCCGTGTTCACGTGATGGGGGGCGGGGGGTGCCCAGTACCCCTTAAATAAGGAACATACCTTAAATCATATGAAGGATCCCTATACAATTTAAGGTATATTCCTAAATTAAGGGGTATTGGGCTCTCTGTGTAGTTTTTGAAACTTGCCACGTTTGGACCCTCTTATGACTGGCGCCTGCCGCGAAATATATTAGCATCTCCTACCAAACGATCGAAGAATCAAAGATCATCCCAAGGCAGCACTCAAACTAAGTGCTCAAAATCCTCCAAGACCGTAAACCCTAAATCCGAAACCCTAAACCCGAAACCCTAAATCCTAAGCCCTAAACCGCGTACCGTAGCGCCAAGGTGTTGTTCCTGCTGCTGACAGCATACGCATTTGTCGCGAAGACGGACTTCACCGGGTACGCGCCGTACCTGTTCATGGCTCTCTGCGTACCTCAGCTTCACTGATTGCTTGTATCAGTATGTTCTGTTATCTCACTTTGTTAATATTAATGTATACAATCATCAGAATATTCTTATACTTTTTTTATTGTTATATAAGTGTATTTCTATATGATTCACTAGACTATAACAATATCACAATTTTTTTAAAGTTATTATGTTATAGTAGCAAAAAACTTAGATGTTAGTATAATATGGTTAGTCTTATGTATCGTGTTGTTATTACTTTTGTTCTTTAATACCAGTGTCTATTATCATGTATTATTTGTATTGTATTATTGTATTATTTTACATAATACAGTATCCTTATACGGCTATATTTTGATTTTTCGATATTGTTATGAGTATATTACAGGGACAGCAGGCCTCGTGAAACCAAGGTTGCTCCTCCTTTCTTGCTTGTCTTATAGCGCAAAACAGATCGGCCAGACTTGTGCACTTATTCGCGCGAATGTGGCTTTGTTGGGCAGGACACAGGTTGGACTCATAGCTTAGGGTGAAACTTGGCATGGTTGAGGCCATGACGTCTGCACATATTTGTGCCAGGTTATGGTCCTCGTGAGCTTTTGCTTTGCCATCCTGTCCATGCTACGCGGCATTAACGGTATGGTCTGTGGTCTGTTCGAGTGCAAGCGTCTTGCGACTGCATGCGCTGCATTAAGGTTTGGCATCTTCCTACCCATGATGCAGATGGTCTACAGCGCAGTTAGTGTGCTTCTCTTCTCCTTCTTCATCATCTTTGACACACAGCTAATGTTGGGTCAGTGGGGAGGCCACGAACTCGAATTTAGCATTGATGACTACGCCTTCGCTGCCATGAACCTGTACCTCGACATCCTCAATCTCTTTCTCAACATTCTGCAGCTGCTCGGGAGCAGAGATTCATAGCTGAGGGGCTGAGGCTCTCCGCGTGGTGAGGAAGCACAGCACCAGGTCCTCCCAGTCCAGATGATTCCTGCTCCGAAGCAGTTTGCCACGGGCAATGTGGGCATTGAGCATCTAGCTTCCAACGGTTCACCTTACCAGATCCTGTCTCCATCGCATGAAGTGTGGGGGAAATGCAGTTGCTGTTTTGGATGATGACGAGAGCGGACATGTAAGTCTGTGTGTTATTTGTCATTCCATTGTTCCTTTGTTCGTTCCCTCGCTCTCTTTTTTGTGCGTGTTCTTTTGTTGTTTTTTTCTTGGTTTGTTTGTTTGTGAGTATGCTCACGGTAGCCCAGAATACGCAAAGCGTCAAAATGTGTTTTTGTTTGTTTGCTTGCTTGTTTGTTTGTTTGTCTGTTTGTTTGTTGGTGTGTTTGTTTGTTTGTTTGTTCGTTTGTTCGTTTGTTTGTGCGCGGGTGTGTGTGTGTGTGTGTGTGCGCGTTGGCTATTTGTTTGTGTGTTGGTGTTTGTGCCTTCGTGTCTTCGTGCCTTCGTGTCTTCGTGTCTTCGTGTCTTGGTGTGTTTGTTTGTGTGTTTGTTTGTGTGTTTGTTTGTGTGTTTGTTTGTGTGTTTGTTTGTGTGTTTGTTTGTGTGTTTGTTTGTGTGTTTGTTTGTGTGTTTGTTTGTGTGTTTGTTTGTGTGTTTGTTTGTGTGTTTGTTTGTGTGTTTGTTTGTGTGTGTGTGTGTGTTTGTGTGTTTGTTTGTGTGTTTGTTTGTGTGTTTGTTTGTGTGTTTGTTTGTGTGTTTGTTTGTGTGTTTGTGTGTTTGTGTGTGTGTGTGTTTGTTTGTTTGTTTGTTTGTTTGTTTGTTTGTTTGTTTGTTTGTTTGTTTGTTTGTGTGTTTGTTTGTGTGTTTGTGTTCTTGTTTGTGTTCTGATTTGTGTTCCTTTTTTTTGTGTGTGTGTGTGTGTTTTCCCTTTTTTTGTGAGTGTGTGCGCTTGTTTGCTTGTTTGTTTTTGTTTTGTTTGTGTTTTGTTTTGTTTGTTATTGTTTGTGTTATTGTTTGTTTTTGTTTTGTTTGTTTTTGTGTTGTTTGTTTTTGTTTTGTTTGTTTTGTTTGTTTGTTTGCTTGTTTGGTTGTTTGCATCTTTGTTCGTTAGTTTGTTTGGGTTGTTTTGTTTGTTTGTTGGTTTGTTTGTTTCTTTGTTTGCTTGCTTCTTTGTTTGTTTCTTTGTTTGCTTCTTTGTTTGCTTCTTTGTTTCTTTGTTTCTTTGTCTGTCTGTCTGTCTGTCTGGGTGTTTGTGTGTGAGCGTGTGTGTGTGTGTGTGTGTTCGTGAGTTAGTTCGTTTGTTTGTCTGTGTCTGTGTGACAATGACAAGTTACTAAGTTTCCAGGAGGTTGTAGAGATATCCGCATGTAACTGCCGCTTGTGGCGTACTTGATGCCTGTCCTTGGCAACATGTTGCAGCAGCAGAAGCAGCAGTAGCAAACGACACTGATCTGAGTGGCACTCATGCATCCAGCCTTCACCTACGCACCAAATATCTCAGACATCTCGGCCTTCTCATCCTAAGCAAAAGAAATGGTGGGTTTACGATAGTAAGGGACTCCTCCTATATATAAACCCCCAAATAGTAGGATCCCCTTGTAATGAGTACTCCCAAAATTGTACCCCGAGTATCGTAGACCCCCAAATCATGCACATTGCTTGGGTCACCCCTCAGCCACCCTCAGCCCCCAAATTCATCACGCGAACCAGCCGCTCACGCGTAGCTCATGGCATGGCGCCAAAACAGGTGGGACTTGCGTTGAACATTGCGCTTTTTGTGGCACAAGCTGGACGGAGTGCCATAAACATACATGTAATAATTCAAAAATTGTTCTAGCATAATTAGAAATATACTGATACACGAAAACACAATCAGACTTGTGCTTCGTGAGGCCACGCCCACCGGGCCCACCACGCCGTCAAGGCGATCTCCCGGGGCCTTTGCTCTGAGCAAAACTTCAAGCGCAAGCCTCCAAATGGGGGTTTACAAAAATTAGGGAAGGGACCCCCTAATTTCGCTCCCCCCAATAGTAGGATCCGATTATAATCAGGACCCCAATCTATTTTCGGAGACCTCCAAGTTGCCAAGCAGTTGATTGCGCTAAGCCACCATGCCACCCGAGTAGAGTCACCAGAGTCTGCGGTTGCATTATGTTTCTCGGCCTCCCTAAACAACTCCGCACATGGTCTCTTCCTTACTGTTGGTGAGCACGGAATGAGGGAATTAGGGCCCTCTATATACCCCTTGAGGGATGATATAGCGTACCTCATTCCCCCATTCCCTCCTACTAACCAGCAGTAAGCTTTTCGCAGATCCTAGCAGTCTGTTGTGGCGGCGTGTGGACAAAGCAAAGTCGAGTTCGGATTTTTTTTTGCACTGCGCAACTCTGTCTATGAGCATTTGCCGGTTGCAGCCCCTGCTTGTAACTTAGCCTCATGTCGCCCTCCACCTGAGACTCCCAATTCAATTCCTCAATGAGAAGCAATGGCACATCAGGTTTCAACTTCCCTGCCATCAAGGAGGAAGAGGAGGAGCTGCTGAGGAACCCTTGGGGTCGGGCATCCTGCTCCACATGCGGGGTTTTTGAAGGTCTGTTTGTGCCGTTTTACGGGGGGAGGGGAGGGCAAGCCGGTCGTTCACAAGAGTCTTCAGGTAGTCCTTGCTGTCTTCAGTTTGTACTCGTCCTGCGACAGTGCTATCATGAAGGCTACCAACTCTTGGAGAGATACGCTTCTTCCATAGCCAAACTGGCTTTGCAGGACCGGATGGTCCGACATTTCGGAGACTTAGAAGTGCGTTCCCCCCTTTCACCCTTACCCCCCCCCCCCCCCCCCCTCAACCAACCCACCCGAAGGTGCAAGGTGCACCCCCTGACATCTTGGACTGCTTGGAGGTTCATGGCACTTATTAAGCAATTATAACTGTACTTATACCCCACTTACAAGCCCCTGAAGTCCCCTAGTATGGTTATAAGTGCAGTTATAAGTACACTTATACTTGGTTAACAAGTACTACGGGCCTCCAAGTGGTCTTGGAGTGCATGTCACAGTGGGCTTGGGGAGCTTTATGGGGTCATCTCGTGGTGCTCTTCTGGAGGGTCTTACACTGTTTGGGGTCAATGACTGGCGTGGTTCAAAAAACCCTAAACCCTAAACCCTAAACCCTAAACCCTAAATTGCTGCCAAGGTATCCCAACATGCCGTGGGATCATTAGGGCTTGCGCCATCCTTGCGAGCCTGCCAGGGACCTGCCGGCACAAGGCGGCTGGATCTGGTCAAAGCCGGATCTCATCGATGATGATGAGAAGGCGTTCCGACTGCCTTTGCAAGGGACAGGTGCCCGTAGCCCATCTGTTAACCTTCTTCTTGGAATTTGAGACTCAACAGCTTCCAATGTCTCGAAATGTTCCGAAGATCAGAAGCGCCTAGGACAGCAGAAGTGTGAGACTGTCCGACGAAGATTAGAATATTGCCTACGCCAGGTGAACGGCCCTGAAGCCCTGTTGTCCCCTGTGTCAATGTGGAACAAAATTCTCTGAATTCTGTTCCGCTCAGTTTTCTTCGTCTTCTTCTTTCTCTTCTTCTTATGTTGTTCTTTCTTCTCGCGGGTGGTGTTAAGGGGTTTATGTTTGCATGTGACTAGTCGCCCACTCGATGGCGCTTCCATGCCCTGTGCTGGATTCGCGATGTGTCCTTGTTCCAATGAACTATGTGGCAGCGGTCTGTGCTGGAAAGGCCATTGAAACGTCAAACCAGTTGAGCTAGACTGCTAGACCCAGCGTCTTTGCGAGGTCGCCAAGCGAGTTGCGTGGCTTAACAAGTCAGGCGCCAAGTCGGAAACCTTCAAGAGGTATTTAGCCCCATGTCTCTGCGTAGTTAGTCAAGACCTGTTCTTTGCACATGAGGTACGGATGCCTTGCCAAGCAAATCGAGTGGGCAGAGGCAGGTCGATAGAGTGTTGTGAGCCACGGCACATCCAAACACGAACCCGAGTTGCTGAGGGGCATGTGCAAGCACCTGCTGGCACAGGTGGCCGACCTGCTTGACAGCCTCAAGGACGGGCTGTAGCACATTTGTAGATCTATAATACTATACATATACATATACATATACATATACATACACATATACTTATATAGAATGTACAGTATATATATATATATACTATATAGTGTGTACATACAGTGTACAATATATATATATATATGTATGTAGTATATATGGCATCAACCCTCGCAAGGTGGCCCATGCCATGGTCCTTCTCAGGGATCTGGAGATGCAGGGCAACAAGGCTCCAACCTTTCAAGAAAGATGGGCGGTCGACGGGTTCCCGCAAAAGGCATGGCCACTATGGCCCTTTCCCTGAATTGAGCCGAAGGTTCGGACACATTTGCAACTGCAAGGCGGTCCACCGATTTGTGTGGGATAGCAGGTGCAACAAGCGCCATGGGTGGCGATCAAGTTGGCGGACAATCGGGTCTGTTGATGTTTATGGAACATGGGCAACATGGGGAAATCTCGATGAGCACCAGAACTTGTGAATCTCAGCACCTGGGATGTGACGCGCTAAACCCTAAATCCTAAACCCTAAACCCTAAACCCTAAACCCTAAGAGTCGAATTGAGTTTTGCAGGTGAGGGACCCCACCGATTTCATCAAGAGAGCGGTGGAACAGGCTCCGAGCCCGCCTCGATGCATGTACTTGGTTGTATATGTATATTTATATTAAATATATATGTACATAGCCATATATTTCTGTAGCTGTATAAATAAATAAATAAATATACATATATATATATACCCTTATACATATACACACACACATATCCATACATATATATATATATGTATATATACATATATATGTATATGCACATGCTGAAATTAAGAATACAACATTCTAGAAAATCAAAAACATACATACATACATACATACATACAGACAGACGTACATGCATGCATGCATACATACATACATACATGTGTGTATATATACATATAGCGTATAAATAAACAAATAAATATATATGCATATACATATGCATATCCATACTACATATACATATATTTAGAGTTTATATCTAGTATATATACATATACATATATATATATATATATACATAAAGCGTGTATATATATACTAATATATATATATATATATATATACATACATACATACATACATACATACATACATACATACATACATACATACTATATATATATATCGAGTATAGCAGACTATAACGAACTTTTAATATGATATAAACTTGTTACAACATGTACATAGTCTGAAATATGTCACTTGCAGAATAAATGGTCGACCATAAGCATGCATTGATTATTATTGCTATGTTATATTGAATGGACTGTGCATTGCATATTATACAGTATGCTATATCTAATATACACTACATAACAATGTATCTGCAGTACAGAATACTACAGAATATACTTAGTATTATGTATTATAAAGTATACGTATATGGCGCTATATACATACACACATATATATATATATGTATAGTATATATATATGTATATATATATATATATCTGTATTTTTCTTACACAAAAGTGACAAGACAAAACCAGGCCGGTGGAGATGAGATCGACTTCCCTGTGGTCTGCTTCTTACGCTCCACGCCCTTGCGGCCTGGGTGGTTTCGATGGATCTCTGGGCGGTTTAGGGGTTTAGGGGTTTAGGCTTTAGGGTTTAGGGTTTGGGGTGAGGGGTTAAGGGTTTAGGAGTTTAGGGTTTAGGGTTTAGGGTTTAGGGGTGTGCCGGGGAAGAATTCTGGAATGGCGTAGTGTCGCAGTGTTGACTTCTCCCCAATGCAAGCATGACCTTCTTTCCCTTCCTGCAGCGCGCAAAGTGCTGGATCCAGAAGTTTCGATGTTTTGGCTAGATGGTCCATGTGTCGCTTCCATGCCCACGTGGCAAGAGTAGCCCACCTTGCGCTCCGAATCCGCCAAGGATTCCGGACAGTCTGCCGTGGCGGACAGAATCGAAGAGCTGAACAGTGCAGGGACGCGCCGGCCTCAGAGCTCGTCGTCAGACGGGCTTCATGGATATCTCACGTAGCATGATATATTTTCTCTTAGCACTACGTGGTAGATTCATTGCCTTATCTTCTTATACTATATACCATTCTAGTCTGGTACCCTTAAACCCTAAACCCCAAACCCTAAACCCTAAACCCTAAGCCCTTTGTGCTCTTGGCAAGGCTGTCAGCCGAAATCGATTCGTCTGTGCTCGATGGACTGGAGGGCTGGGAGCTGAGATGACTGAGACGGCCCGTGGCCTGCGACCTTGAAACGGGTGTAGGGTTTAGGGGTTTAGGGTTTATTGGTTTAGGGGTTTAGGGGTTTAGGGGTTTAGGGGTTTAGGGGTTTAGGGTTTAGGGGTTTAGGGGTTTAGGGTTTAGGAGTTCATGGTTCAGGGTTTAGGTTTAGGGGTTTCGGGTTTAGGGTCGAGGGGTTTAGGGTTTAGGGTTTAGGGTTGGGTCAACAAATCCATTGTTGTGAGGGCGATCTTCGGCGAACCCCCCCATGTGTCGTCACAAGTGCACAAGCCTCAAGCACAAGCTCGCAAGCCTGAAACCGCAACCACTGCAGGACTGCCAGAGGACGATGCTCTGGGACTGCTCCAAGAGGTTGCAGACAAAGGCCATCCGGAACAGAGGGGATTCACTCGTTTGTACTTGCCGTAGTTCCGTTGTGCGCCGTCTTTTCTGGGCTTCTGCTTCGGAATGGAGCGTGACTGTTTTTTGTTCGGGTCAGAGCCCCACCAGAGTCGGTGAGTTTGGAGCCTTGCTAGCAATCCCGGGCGCACCTTTCATGATGAGTCCTACTGGGGGCCTCTTGCAGCACAGTGACGAGGCTCGAGTTCGATCAGCATGCGCCCAACTGCAGTGGCAAATGAGCCAGAGAGGATACTGCCATAGCCCGGACTTGATTCGTCTGTGAACGCATGCATGTTTGCATAGTTTTGTGCGGCGAAATGCAGTTCGCCATGCAGGCCAGTCAGTCAAGAATCCAACGTCGTACATTCGCTTCAAGCTGAAGGCCTCGGCCTCAGACGTTGTCATGCAGCCATGCAACTGTTGACGGCTTCTTGCACCCATCTCCTGTCCGCTCTGACTCAAGCTGTGATAGAGTTCTCTGTCAACCCCAGAAGTCACAAGGCACGCTTGGCAGTGCTCGGGGTGTCCCCAGATGCACCAATCGACGAGCACAGCAAAATCTTGAAGCGCCACGGCCTTGAGAAATCCCAGTGTCATGCACTTGCTTCCGTAAGGGGTGCTCTGTGAGAGCAGAAAGCTGGGTCCTGTTGCTTCTAGTGGACGTCCTTGCATGTGTCCGTGGGCTCGAACACGAGATGAGCATCGATTAGTTCTTTTGAAGCGGAGCCGTGGCAGAATGCAACTTGGAGCGCAAGATGGTCGGCAAAGGCACAAGGTCAACATCAGCATCTGCCTCCGATGCTCTTGGGAGGACTTTTTAAAGGGCATCTCTGCTAAGGCATGGGGGAGCCCTTAGAACCCTTCCGACTTTTTTCTCAGTAGCTGAGGATCCGTGCGCGCTTATGGCTGCTGGCGCTCTCTGCGGTGCCAGCTGCGGGACAGGATCCGGCGACCATCGCAACAGCGATGGCCGGAAGAGTAGCAGGGATCATGGCAGAGAAAGCTGAGCAGAAGATCGCGACTCGGCTTGCGACTTTAACTGCCTAAACCCTAAACCCCTAAACCCCTAAACCCCTAAAGCCCTAATCCCCTAAACCCCTAAACCCCTAAACCCCTAAACCCCTAAACCCCTAAACCCCTAAACCCCTAAACCCCTAAACCCCTAAACCCCTAAACCCCTAAACCCCTAAACCCCTAAACCCCTAAACCCCTAAACCCCTAAACCCCTAACCCCTAAACCCTAAACCCTAAGGGCCTTGATTGCCTGAGGAAAGTGCGATTGAGCATCCGCAGCAGCCACCACAATGCGTCGGCGAAAGCTGTTGCTTGGGCTCCACCTGCATGAGCCTGCCAGGCGCATCGCTGGGGTTTCGGGTTTAGGGTTTAGGGTTTAGGGGTACTACTCGCATTTACGGTAGTTCGTGGTACCGGATGATGGGTTTGAGCTGAGACTTCAGTTCGATCGACTTCGATGGATAGAGTGCTCTGTGCACAGAAACCCTTCAGATATTAAGGACTATTAGTATAAGGTGGAGCATCCCAAATCATGAGTCATGAGGGCAAATATCCCAAGTGGTTCTCAGGGTCAAACCACGACACAAGCCCAGTCGCTGATGCCTCTTGCCGATCTACTGCAAGGGGGCCAGAGTGAAACCTCATGTTGAATGTGTTCCTCCGGCAAAGCTCGAATGTTGCCGCCCGCTCATTTCCTGTTAGGTATGGGCTGCAAGGCATCACGGGGGCGCACCCAGTGCGTGGGTTCCAGCGCAATTGCGATGAAGGAAGGCCAGGTTTGTTCCAGCACCGTCCAGACTAGGCTCAACTAACAAACTAGCTCTCTCTCGCTCCCTGTCTCGCTCTCTCTCACTCTCTCACTCTCTCTCTCTCTCTCTATCTCTCTTTCTCTTCACTCTCGCTCTCACTCTCTACAGGGTTTGGCAAAGACCCTGGCTGGAGCAGGTGTATGCCAGTGTCTCGAAGGCCCATGCAGCAACGAAGGGATTTGCGTTGACACGACGCTCGCCTGGTCTTTGGATGCCTGGGGGGAGTTTGCAGCCTCGAGTATGGGCCCTCAGTTTAGGTCCCTTGTGATATATATAACCCTTATCTAGTTTGAGGTTGAAATGGGACTTATAGCCCCAGTTATAACTGCAGAGACCAAAACTGAAGGTACTTCCAGTTTAGCCCTAGGTGCCCTGCAAGCCTGAGTCCACGAGCACGAGGTTTGCTTCAAAACCTCATGGAACCCTAAGCCCTCAACGATCAGAAAGCGGTTTCCGCGCGAAATGCAAGGCTTCCGCCAGACCAGAGGCCGAAGCATGCGACCTTCACACCGACTCCTTACTTTGCCAACAGTTGAGCTTTAAACTTTTTCGGTCTCCTTCTTTGGTAGGAGTAATAAAGCTTAATCTCCCCGGAACCCCAAACCCCAAACCCCAAACCCCAAACCCCAAACCCCAAACCCTAAACCCTAAACCCTAAACCCTCTTTTTTGTTCCTTTGGTCATTGGAGAAGTAAGGACTCAGGGAGTTCCAGGAGCGGCGGCCCAACATCAGGTGCTGACCGATCCCCCGGTGGCCGCTTCTCCGATACCAGTTGGGGGGCACAGCGTCCGGATAGTAAAACCCTAAAACCCTAAAACCCTAAAACCCTAAAACCCTAAAACCCTAAAACCCTAAAACCCTAAAACCCTAAAACCCTAAAACCCTAAAACCCTAAAACCCTAAAGCCCTAAAACCCCTAAAACCCTAAAACCCTAAACCCTAAGCCCTAAACCCCCAGGCCCCAAACCCTAAACCCGAAACCCGAGTAGCTTGCGGGAAGAAGCCGCTTCGCATGGCATGTTTGCTTGGAATCTAGGGTTTAGGGTTTAGGGTTTAGGGTTTAGGGTTTAGGGTTCAGGGTTTAGGGTGCTGCCCAGGGTGGAACAGCCCCGCCCTCTGGCGGTGGCGTTCCAGTCGTGCCCATTGCCATCGGCCTGGTCTTGGCGAACGTCCTCATATGGGGTACCTTGCAAGCACATTTAGGGTTTCGGGTTTAGGGTTTAGGGTTTAGGGTTTAGGCTCATTATGTTGTTGGTATCCGAGCCAAGAGAAATCCGGAACCCTTCAGTCGCAATGGCACCAGATGGTGGATTTCAGCAAGGGGGTGTGTTCTTGTCATGGCTAGCTCTTCAGCAGTTTGATGTCGTTCTTGCTTTTACAATCATTTGGGATGTTCCCCCCCCCCCCCCATACTAGCAGTCCTTAATTCGGATCATAGTACCCCCTCTTGTAATCCCTATTATGGATTGCTTGTACAAGGGCGGAACATCCCAAACAAACATGTCTGTGGACCATTGAGGGTTTCGGATTGAGGTCCCCCTCGCCTCCTTTCCCCTCCCTAGGGTTTAGGGTTTTGGGTTTTGGGTTTGGGGTTTAGGGTTTAAGGGTTTAGGGTGTAGGGTTTTGGGTGCATTGCCGCGACCAACCCAACCAAGCACGCGTTCTTCTGGATCTCCTGCAACTCAGCCATGGCGCCCGAAGCCCGAGACAGAAACATCCTGAATGAGGGAATTACGACGGTTGCGACAGCTAGCTTCTGGGAGTCGTTCGCACAACTGTTCAGGAAGCATCTGGTTCATCCAGAAGAGACGAACTGGCTACACAGCGTACTCCAGCGACGATGAAGAGACACCCGTTATGCAGAAGTCGGGCAACCGGCGCCCCTCGGTACAAGTTGATGCTTGCCTGGTGCTGAGGCGCTCTTGCTTTTTCCCTTCGCGCTTTCTCCGTAATACGTTCCCTAAACCCCTAAAACCCTAAAACCCTAAAACCCTAAAACCCTAAAACCCTAAAACCCTAAAACCCTAAAACCCTAAACCTGGAAGAGTGCTGGAGCATTCATTAACCGAGGCTTCCAAGGGCCGGGTCACTAAGAGCTGAGTGCCTCGGAAGCCTCGGCCTCTCTGTGAATTCGGAAGCTTCCATGAGCTTGCGGCGCCTATGATGTTTTGCAGGTTTAGGGTTTATAGGGTTTAGGGTTTATAGGGTTTCAGGGTTTATAGGGTTTCAGGGTTTAGGGTTTCCATGTGCTTACAGTGAGTGCTTATGATTTTTGCAGGTTTAGGGGTTATAGGGTTTAGGGTTTCAGGGTTTAGGGTTTAGGATTTAGGATCTAGGGTTCTAAGATATTTTGCAGCTTCCCTCGCAAAGTCATGCAAAACACGGAATAGAGGTGCTTCACTCACAGAGAGGCCTGGGACAATGCCATTTTCGCCGTTTCACCCAGATGCCGTAAGGGCCGGTGAAAGGCTTCTGGCCGGTCCTGCGGAAGTCGTTGCGTCAGTTACAAGGGGAGTTCGTTGGTCCCTAAACCCTAAACCTTAAATCATGTTAAATTCTAAGCCCTAAACCCCAGACCCATGACTAGCTCCAAACCCTCTGACAGCAGCTGGGCATGCTTGGGCATGAGTGCGCAGCTGGCCCTCGTTGTGCTTAGCAGGCACGAGAGCTTCAACCGCATTGCAGGACAGCATGCCATAAATGTGGGTTTGGGGTTTAGGGTTTGGGAAGCAGAAGTGTTGCGTTCGATGAGTCATGAAGGAGCCGAAAAAAAGGTCAATGCCTATAGTCACCAGTCTCTCCCCAGCTCCAAGACGGGCTCGCAAATCAGCAGGGCCATCGTGCACTGGATGTACGTCCGCAGCACGAAAAAGGCGCGTTGTTGCCGTGGTATGATGTGGTGTGCAGTGTCAAGCTTCGGTCAGCTACATTTCGCAACTCCCAGGAGTGGAGTGGCTGAACGACTATGGGGGGCTTCTCGAGGCTCGGTCTTTTACACCCATCATGACCCACGACATGCGATCGCTGTCGTGCCTGGAGTGTTTGGCAATTGACGCAACCCTGCTGAACACCTGTCCGGAACACTTCGTTTTGTTGAGCCAGCATGTCAAGAACCCAGCTGACAGAATTCAAGAAGTAGGTGAGGTTTTGCCCGTGCGGCGAGCAATTGCCAAAATGCTGATTAGCTATTTCCAACTCGGATGTCACCCGCTTCCTGCCATACCTGACTTACATGCCTTTTCCACTATACTCGGATGTCACCCGATTTCCGCCATGCCTAACTTACATGCCTGTTCCACTATACCGTATACCTTCTCGACCTCCGCCCGAACCATCGCCCCTCACCATGGCGATCCCGGGCATGGTGGCTCATAGTGAACACGGATGAACCCGGAGACGCACGATAGATTCCACAAGCGGAATGCAAGTGCCTACAGGACATACAGCACAACAAGGTGGCTGGTCCCCTCGAGAGCGTGTTGGCCCTACCTGGGCCGTAGGTTCCAGGTGGTGACCGCGTCCGCATGTCAACATGCGCAGCCATCCACAGCCATGCACCTGTGACTCACTTTCGCGCCTTTAATCGTTTCACGTTGATGCCAGTTTTGATGTCATGTGACACACCCAGAGAGACCAATACACCGAAAGTAAGGAATGTACCTCCAAAATTCGGATCTGTATAAAATTTAAGGTATATTCCTTAATTGAGGGGTATTGGGCTCTCTGAGCATGAGGTCGGACTGGATGCCGCCATGACCATTCTGAAGGAGCTGGAGGACCAGAGCCAAGGCGGGGGCGATTGGGGCCGCAGTAGATTTGGGGGTTTCCGAAAAAAGGGGTCCTGACTATCAGGGAAGCCTACTAGAAGGGGCCCCTGATTATGTAAGGGAATCCTACTATTTGGGCTACACTAGGGGATACCTCATTTTTTGCAAACCCCCCCCCCATTTGTGTCTGAAGCCCGCAGAGTCCCTCCCTTGGCAGGCATCGCCCAGCCCACGGACTTCATCCTCCGGTCAGTTCGGCAGACGAAGTCCCGCCGGGGGCCTCGGCGCAAACTCGTTTCGCTTCAGCTGCAGGGATACTCTGGCAGACCAAAAGCTTGGACCATCCTCACGCTGCGTGGAGCCCCCAAAAGGGAACACCGAAAGCCCAAAAACCCTAAACCCCAAACCCGAACCCCTAAACCCTAAACCCTAAACCCTAAACCCTAAACCCTAAACCCTAAACCCTAAACCCTAAACCCTAAACCCTAAACCGCGGAAACTCCCAGCTTCTTTCATCTTGGCACAGGTGCCTCCAGCGCTGCAGCACCACGTGCCCCTCGCACCGTGTCCCGAGCAGCACCTTCAACCGAGGTGGCTCCCGAACTCATGTGGGTAGTTCTCTAAATATTATATGTATACGCAAAAACATTACAAATATATATATATATATATGTATATATATATATATATATTTTTTTTTTAATGTATATAGTACGGCACCCTTTTAATTAGGACCCAAAAAGAGATCCTGATTTAGAGAACTCGCCATGTGCGGCGCACCTCGCTGTTGTCCTGCCTGATCTTGCCCTTCGTGCCCGCATGGAAGGTGAGTGTGCAGGAGGCTGCTGAACCTGTCACACCACTGCAGGCCGAAGTGAGGTGTTACAGTTCGGCTTGAGATGGCTTGAATACGGCTTGAATTCATACAAAGCACACGGGTGGAGAAGTGGGAGCAGGGACCCTCCTTAGGTCAGACGGTGATTGTCTGAATATTATGAAGTATCATGGCTGCGAGGGCCGGTGTGCTCTTGCATCAGCACCAGGCCCTCAACGACTTCATGGCCTTCTTGAACACAGGCATGGACGCCTCGTAACCTCGCGGATTTGCTGCGGCAGTCGGAAGCCCCCCTCCTCCATGGGGAGTATGGCGGTGGGTGATTCAGCAATGGTCCCACAACAGCTCAGACTTCGCTTGCCTTGGCACAGACTCTGGCTGCAGCAGCGACCTGTCCACAGGTCCTGGAAAGCGCCAGAAGGTCAAGCTTGCTGAGGCCGGGGGCAGAATCGAACTGACCCTAAACCCTAAACCCTAAACCTTAAACCCTAAACCCTAAACCCCCAATCTTCCGCAGGGACCCGCGCCCTCTGAGCCAGGCCCCGGCAAAGGTAGAGGCAAGTGACGGGGTCTATATAGCATTGCGGGTATGGCCTCAGCGCCTTTTGCATGTTTAAATTTTGCAGTCCAGTGCTCCCCGGACTACACCGCCCTAATCCCACATTTAAGGCTGCGTCTGCCCACCTTTGAATTTTCTCAACACAGACTGCGCCGCGGATACGGGTTGAGCACGGCTGCCTTTAAGAGGCAGGGAGGTAGCGCCTTTTCCTTCCTGGGTAAAACGCCCAGCAGATTCCAGGAACCCCACCTCACCAGTAGATGCATTGGTTGGGATAGGAGTCCTCTTCGCAGATCACAGTTTAGGGGTAAGAAGCGTCACAAACAACCCGCCTGTCCCCACCTATCTAGGGCAATCCTTTGGCATCTAATAGCAGCATTTACAGTCTTCTCCTATACCTGTCCACACCGCCATAACCCCTTAATTGTAGTCCTGGATGCCCTGGCCGTTTTCGGAGCCTTTTCCACCATGGCACGCTCCGCAACAATGATCTGCCGCTCCGCAAGATCTTGCAGAACACAAAGAACAGAGAACACAGCACAGGCTACACCGCCGGGTCAGGGATTTCTTAGGTTGGGGTATGCTATTGACTATCTAGGTGTACTCCAAAGAACACTTAACCGTCTGATGCATGCCCTCAATGGTAACACCGCCACTAGAGTAGAGATCTCCCTCAATGATCTTATACCTCCAAACCCCACTCCCCTACCTGGGCTGAAACTTTCAAGAGCGTTCCTTTTAGCACATCGGCAGCCCAAATCCCCTATCCCAGAAGAGCTCCCCACCCTAAACCCCCGGGCTACACCGCCACGAACAGGGCGAAGAGCATGTTTCAGAAATAAAGAGGGAATTAAGATTTCCTTCTCCAAAAAGGTTACAAAGCCACAACGCCGTTTTGTTCAAAACAAGACGGGCTGTCACCCACTTTGTTCCCCTACCCTCCACCCTACCCACACCCAGCCTTACCCTGAAGGGGTCGGGCAGACAGTTTCCAAGGGCACTGGGAATTCAATGAATTTAAAGAATACTTTCATTCTTGCTAGTAAGCCTACACCGCCTCAACGAGGCTTGCCGGGTGCCACTCCGGTGGTTAACGAAGAGTGTTTGTCCCCACCCCTTCCCGCCAAAGCTCTTTTAGGTCGGGGACCCGGGGCTCGCTGTCTACGTAGACGATATTATCGTCAGTGGCGGGGGTCCTTTAGGGCTAACATATTGCCAGGGAACTCGGGAAACAACCTGGTAAAGGGAAGGGTTCCCTTGAAAGCAGATCATGGGAAAGACAGGAAGACAACCAATGCCGGAAATTTTCGTAGGCTCGTTCTTCGACAATCGGCAATTGGAGTTAGGAAGGGAAAGACCACAAAGCTAATGGCTACACCGCCCGTAGCTTATGGTTCTTCTCTTCGAATAGGCACACAAAATGTTCAGGGAATGGCTGAACTCTTTAAGCATCAAGAGGTCCTCGCTCTCATGCATACCCATCAGCTCGACGTTCTGATGTTAACGGAAACCCACTCCAAGTCATACTACTCATTTCAAAGTCAGGGCTACCTTTTTGTGGTTAATGGTAACAACAAGGATAAATGGTCAGGAGTCACAGCGGTTATATCGCCAAAAATGGTTCCTCATGTTTGCAACATCATTCAACACACTTCTCGTATCTTGCAAATTATCATCTCATCCAAATCAGGCTCCATTCATATTATTGGGGTATATGCCCCACACGACAAATCGCAGGAAGAGGAGCGTAAGACCCCATTCTGGAACATGTTGGAAGACATCCTCACAACAATTCCACAACCAGAGCCGGTTTACGTTGTAGGAGACTACAACGTCAGGTTACAAGGTAGGTTTTCTGCTGAACAGGATTTTTTGGGGCCTCATATCTACGGTAAGGGCAAACTCGCTGCCAACACTAAAACGCACTCCAACCGCACATTCTACACTTCTTTGTTAAAATCCCTTGGATTTGCAGACGCTTTATCCTTTAAACAGTCCAACCTGACCAAGCATGTCACCTACAGGGATAAATTCTCACCTCCGGACAACTGGGACCAGTTCATTCTCGACCCCCTAATTCTTCTACAAATGTGGGACCGTTTTGCCACGCTCCCCTTGCCGGAGTCGGATCAGCTTTCGCTGGTTTCGGAGATTCGAGCGTTCCTGGGTTTAGATACTCTCCCTCCCAATAAACTGGCTACACCGCACATAGACCCGGTCCGCTTTCAAAGCTTGGACAGACTGATTACCCCTAGGAAGTGGCTCCCCACGATCCGAAAAGTAAAAGCTGTACACAATACAGGTTTTCCAAGCGATCAGTACCTACTTCTTACAGAGCTCAGCGTCCGGCTAGGGGCACGTAGGCAGAGGCAACCCAGACCCCCCCCCCTGGAGTACAACGCCAACAGACAGCAGCGCGAGAAGTTCAACAAAGAATTTAGGAACGCACTAGGTCTAGAGGATACTGAGGCTACACCGCCAAAACCTTCGCTTCCAGTAGAAGTCTATACCGATGGTTCAGGCTCGAGAGGTAAATGCACCAGTACAACGCCAGCCGGTTGGGGTTTCGTTACGGTAATACACGGAGTCCCCACGCACAAAGCCAGGGGACCGGTAATTACGGGTACTTCGCCTTTTTCACTAGGAGCGGTGGTTGGTAGTAACAATACCGGAGAATTGTCCGCATGGATGGAAGCAGCGTTGTATTTACTGTCGATGGACCCTATCCCTTCCACCGTTACATTCTGCTTTGACAGTAAGTGGGTGGAAGGCATGGTTACAGGAGCATTTCGCCCGACTAGGCACAAAGCCATGGTCTACTCCGCCAAGCGTATTTATTCCCTATTAAAGGCCAGAACAACAATCAAATGGACCTGGGTTAAAGGCCACTCAGGACAAGAATACAATGACATGGCGGATGCGCTTGCAGGACAAGCAAAACAAGATGGTGTACGGATAGGTGGCCGTTCTGAACAACACTTCTACCTTACCCCTACTAACCTCCCTTTGGCAGACGCACAAGCCCCCCTCCCCATCATCAAAAACGCGCCGGACCGCATCTCACAGGCCCTTTTGACGGCGGCGGAGAACACATTCGATAAACTGCCGGTCAAACCCAGGACGTGCTGGATTACTCCAACACTTGCAGCGGACATCGAAGCCGTAAAACAGCGCAGATTACATGGAGACCCTCAGGCCACTCAGGAATACAAAAGGCTCAAAACGCAAGCCCGCAAAGTAAAACGCCAATGGCTAAGGGATCAGGTTCTGCAATCCCATAATCAGGGGTCGCAAGCGCTTTGGCGGAACCTCCGTAAAATGAAAACGGGATTTAGAGAACGAAAATCCAGGCTAAAAAAGGAAGATCGGCCGGTACCTTGGGATAAACAGCACGAGGCGTTTGCAGACCACCTCGCCAATGTACAATGGGGTCCCACCACGGTCACGGCAGAAGAAAGAGAATTACTACGGGAGTCACCCTCTTTATACGCGCCCTCGGCTACACCGCCCCCACCCTTCACCCTGATAGAACTTTCGGACGTTATCAAGCAATTACGAAAGGCTAAATCGCCTGGTCCAGACAACATTCACAATGAGCTGGTGCTGCTTCTGGACTACATAGGGGAACAACAGCTATTGGAAATGTTCAACGAATGTTTTAGTAGCGCCACGGTTCCCCAAGAGTGGAAAGAGGCTCTTATCGTTAGTATTTATAAAGGCAAAGGTTCGGATTCTGACCCTGCTAATTATAGGCCAATTTCCTTGCTAAATACTTTCTATAAGATCTACGCGGCATTACTTCAAAAAAGATTGGCTAAAGCGCACGATCATCAGCTTCGGAGCACGCAATTTGGTTTTAGGGCTAATCGATCCACGCAACAACCACTGTTCGTCCTACGCACATTGCAAGACCTAGCGCTGAAAACAGGCTCTCCCTTTCAGCTGCTATTCCTCGATTGGAGAATGGCGTTCGACAAAGTTGATCATGATTCTATGATCATAGCTTTGGAGCGCCTTGGAGTACACCGCCAATATGTCGACATTATTAGAGATCTTTACACCAACCAGACATTCTATACGAGAGGACCCTTCGGGGACACCGCCAAGGCTACACCGCACACCGGTATTAGGCAAGGTTGCCCCCTAAGCCCGTATTTATTTATCATGGTTATGACAGTGCTTTTCTCTGATGTAGACCGCAGGCTCCGTATACATGGCACCCCCACTAACTCCTGGTCGGTAGGGAAACCAGTATACGATCTAGAATACGCTGATGACACGCTTCTCATTTCGGTTACAAAGCCACAAATGAACGACATACTTAAGGCAATTGAGGTAGAAGCCACCCTATACGGGATGCTTCTGAACAAAGAAAAAACAGTCTCTCTGGAGTACAACGCCGACGCCCCCCAGGTCCTATACTTTGCTGATGGCTCCCCGGTTCCCATAACCACTGACACTAAATATTTAGGCTCCCAAGTTACATATGGTATCCTGGACTCCTGCGGACACCATGCCGCTATGTGTGTAGCCGGCGGGGAACGCACGCAGAGGCACAATGCCGTCCGTGACCTAGTCTGCAATTGGGCGGAGCGGGCAGGGTTGCGACCCGAAAAAGAAAAGTCTGGGCTGTTGCTCCCGCAGTGCCCGGACGACACTCGCTCTGCTGGTAGACGCCCTGCTGATGTTTACTTACCGGCCTTGGCCGGGTCTCCTGCTGCACTTGACTTCGCCGTCACGGCGCCACAGCGACAGGAGACCCTGGCCAAGGCCAGTAGGGAAACAGCTGCAGCGGCTGCTGACTACGCCAGGCACAAAGAGAACCACCTCAACACTGCGCAGTGCTGCGAGGCCCAAGGCATAGTCTTTGTGCCCATGGTGGTAGAAAGCACCGGCACGTGGGACAAGGGCGCCGAGGTCGTACTCAAGCACTTGGCTCGGGCTGTAGCGGCTCGGACAGGTGTGGAATCGGCCACGACTCACGCGGCCTTGTTTCAGGAACTGTCTGTCACGGTGCGGTCCTGGCGCGCCCGGGCGGCCCTGCGCCGCCGCCAGGAGTTGGTGGAGTGAATGGGGATTGGCACTGGTTGTGGATATACCACACAGATCCGTTCGGGGGACCCCTAACGGGCACTGCAGATGATGAGGCGTACACCTGCCTGGTATCTGCTTGGGTCCGTCAGGCTCTTCTTGCGTCGCGTTACGGCCCATTGGCAAGCGTGGTGCTTGGGTTCTCGCGGGACGCCGGAGACTCACGCAGGTGTCGGGGGCCTCGCCCTACGGCCGTCCATGCTCTCTGCCGTGTTGTCGGGATGGACGCATCCTGCATCACCGGGTGTCGGACGCGACTGGGCCTGTAGCTCTAGCGCTGCCGTGTGTCGGACGCAGCTGGGCCTGTAGCTCTAGCGCTGCCGTGTTGTTCGACGACTTGGCCATGAGATCGGTGCTCAGTGCTCTTTGTCTTCAGAGGCAAAGCCTCCCGCATATTCAGTTGGTACTTTGAGCATTGCTCACTAGGGGACAGCAGCAGCAAGTCATTCGAAGCGTTCACATCGCCATGGTTGAGGGTTTGGGGGTTAGGGCACCAGCAGCCTGCGAGAGTTGCCCGGAACCCAGCATCCAACAAGTTTCTAGGGTTTAGGGTTTAGGGTAAATAGCACTGACAACCCAGCTCCACAAAGCTCCCAGAGATGCACTTGCAAGCCATGGGCCTCTGCCGGCAGCGCGCCGCAGCAGCATCGATCGTCGCAGGTGAAGCCGCGTTAGAAGTCGCATGATGCGGCATGACCTGCACTCTGCATCCGCAGGAGCCCAGAAAGCCGGGAACAATGGCGGCATGCAAGTCGCGCAGCATCATGTGCAAACAGCGAAGGTCCATGAGACAAGGCCTTGAGTGCCGTGACGGATCCAGTTGCGTGGAGCCGTGGTCCATGAGATAGGGCCTTCGGCGCTGCAACTCCAGCTGGTTCAGCTTCGTCGTCATGACCCCGCTATACTTGCGCTACAGCAGCCTCGCGAACGCCACAGACAGCGCGGGGCCGCTGACATCATCGCTTCTATGCCCAGGCGATGCTAATGTTGATGTTGATGTTTGTGCTTGCTCCTTGTCCTTGTCCTTGTGGTTGTGGTTGTTGTTGTTGTTGTTTCCTCCTAAGCACGCCATAGAAGCTCGTAAAGTCAAGGCGCACATTTCCTACATCAAACTCCAACATTTCTGGAGGTCACGCATCAATTCTAGAACTAAAACTAGAATCTTCCGTGCCATAGTCTTGCCTACTTTACTGTACGGATTGGATACGCTTACTCTGGAAATTAAGCACCTAAAGACCATAGATGCATGGTACCACAGATATCTTCGTAGAGCACTAGGAGTCAAGGACTCATATTATTCACACATCTCGAATCGACAGGTATGGACGCTAGCGGGCCGACCCACGCTACCATCCCAAATTCTGACCTCTGCCCAGTTAAAGCAATTGGCAAATACCTTGGCTACACCGCCCAGCAATCCGGTGCACCATGTAGTCTACTCTCCGGGTTGTAAAGATAGGATCAAATTCACAAAATCTTCACACAGAGGACATCCCCAAAGATATTGGCTGGAACTCAATACTGAGTATGCATTACCGGTGCTTAAAGAATACATAAGGCTAAACCGCATAAACACGGAGGAGCAAAGGCAAGACTTCTTAGGCCTCAAACACCTCCTTAATAGGGACCCCCTCTTCCTGTCTTTCCTGGAATCTGCGCCGACGCGCTGCCCCCACTTGTTCAAAAGACACGCCAAAGCACTTGCATGCGCATGGCTGCCATAAAAAAAAACCTAAACCCTAAACTGTCAACAAGAAGCTCTGCGGAAAACTCGCCAAGTGATCGCCAGAAGTCCCGGAAGCTGCTAGGTGGCTGGTGCCCTGGAAGCCCTGGGAACGAAGCGAGTACGAAGCTCAGCTTTTCTGCACCTGGGGCATGGGTAAGCTCCGGGTACCTTTCGCAGTATGTTGTCCAAGACAATCGCGGGGACGCTTCGTGAGTTCTCAGGGCACAATAGCTTGCGTCGACTTTTGCTATCGGCATGCGCTGGCAGCCAAGGCTATGAGAATACTCAAGGAGATGCAGGAGAAGGGGCTTGGCCGCGAGCTCAGCGTGGCCATCGCGTGTGGGATATAAGTTCGCAGTGCTTGCAGGAAGTTTACGGGTCACTTGCTGCAGGTCTCGATGACCCTGTGAGCTACATCAAGGCAGGTGCTGTGCCATTTGAGATGCACTTTCTGCGATGTCTAGCCGAGCTCAGCCAAACCCTCGCTGAAAGGCGGCCGCACAGCGACACGGGTTTACAGCAGCCAAGGCCCCAGCAACCAGTCGCCGGAAGGAACTCTTCCCTTTAAGCCCCAAAGCCTCAAGCTTTCTGGCTTCTTCTCCTCTCAGGTCAAAGCGGAAACTTTGGAGCCCGAGACTGCGGAGGGTGTTGATGACGTCTCCAGACTCACTTCCCGCTGCAAGTGGCCCCTTGGCAAGTATCTATAAGGTGCTGCTGTCAGTCCCAGTGAGAAAAAGGGCAACGGTTTAGGGTTCAGGGTTTAGGGTCTAGGGTTTAGGGTTTAGGGTTTAGGGTTTAGGGCAACAAACAGTCGAGAGGCTCAGCAGCTCTAGACATCCCCAGGCTGAACCAGTTTGCTGGCCTAGCGCAGAAGATCGTCATCGATGAAGTTGCCCAAGCCTCATGGCATGAGTCGTCCGCAGATCTGCGCAGGTCCTGCCTGTCTCTGTCTCTTTCTCTGTTTCCTTCTCCGTCTCTTTCTCTTTCTCGTTCTCGTTCTCTTTCTTCTTCTCCTTCTCCTTCTGATTCTCTTCCTCTTTCTCTTTCTCTGTCTCTTTCTCTTTCTCTCTCTGTTTTTCTCTTTTCTCTTCCCTCCCGAATCCAAGCTGGTTCTTCTGCTCTGAAAACTGCAACTAGCCAGTAACCATGAATCTCCAAGTGCCTGCACCTGCAGCACATCCTGGCCAGCAGAAATGGGTGCTGAAATTACAAACACGATCGCCATGCACTAGGGGGCCAGAGCTGGGCAGGCAACGCTTGCAGCACATGAGCACAGAGTGAGGCCCGGAACAGCCACGCCCGAGGTCCGGTCACATTGTTGGCACCAGAATCAGAAGCCAGAGCAGCTAAGCAGGAACTCAAAAGCACGAATTCTTAAAGTTAAAGTTTGGCAGAGACATGACGCCGAAGCAGAAGGGGCAGGGAGGGAAAGAGGACCACCCGGCCAGCAAGTCAGCATAGTCTGTATCAATTTCCCCTTTTCCTCCCCTCTCCTCCCCTCTCCTCTCCTCCCCTCTCCTCCCCTCTCCTCTCCTTCTCCTCCTCTTCTCCTCTTTTCCTCCCTTTCCTCCCCTTTTCCTCCCTCTCCTCCCCTGCCCTCTCCCCTCTCCCTCTCTCTTTCTCTCTCTCTTTCTACCTCTCTCTCTCTCTCTCTCTCGTTTTCTCTCTCGTGATCTCCCTTTCTCTCTCTTTCTCACTCTTTCTTCACCATACCCTGAAAGCTGAATGCCTGCTGTCAGATTGGTGCTCTCTACTGCCTCGGCGTGCCTCAGTCGATGTCTATCCTCAGAGGACTTCAGGACTGGATTGCGGCATGTATTGCAAGAAGTTGCCACGACCTGAAGGCATGAAGTTATCGTAGGAATCTTGATTCGAAGTAGTCCCGACACGGACAAGGAGCGAGGCGCCAGCGTCCCGGATCCCACGCGGTACATCAAGCAGGCTGGTATGGTGATCCATGAACGTTTGTCAAGGGAGAGGAGAGAGAGACAGTGAGAGAGGAGAGAGAGACAGTGAGAGAGAGAGAGAGAGCGAGCGAGAGAGAGAGAGAGCCAAGTCAGTATGAGTTTCAGAGTGCGAGCCAAGTCAGTATGAGTTTCCGCGTTTTTTGCTCAGTATCACGCTGACTTAGTGACGATCTGGGCGCGCCCAGTACGCCATGGTCAAGGTCATCTTCCCTCTTCATGCCCTGCAGCAGAAGAAGAAGAAGAAGAAGAGGGGGAAGAGGGAGAGAGAGGAGTCAGTGAGAGAGAGAGAGGGAGGAGGGACGGAAGGGAGGCGGGCTCACCCACGGACTCGGTGACTGCTCGCCTTCGAGCGGCTCTCCCCAGCTGGAGAGGGCCAAGAGTGGAAGGAAGGAAGGTAGGAAGGAAGGAAGACTGCTTCACAGTTTCCTGGTCTAAGCCCTTAAGCCCCCTAACCTAAAACTTCAAACCCTACTGCCCATAGTTGTTCATCAAGTTTGTTCCGGACCGCGTCGTAGGCCGTGCAGCATGCCAACACTGCCCTGGCCGGCGAGGACACCGGGGCCTTGATTTGCAGCGAAGGCATTATGACATAGGTTTAGGGTTGAGGTTTCGGGTTTAGGGTTTAGGGTTTAGGGTTCCTCTCCAAGTATGTTTCAGTTACGTCTGGCCACTGTCCCGATTTCCTGAAGAGAGCTGACGCTGACGTCTGGGAGTCTAGAATGTTATGGCAAGTTTGGACATGTTTGGACACAGGATTCCGCCAATGAAGCGAAGGAGGAGGACGACGAAGGGGCCCAGAGCTCAGACAAACAGCATCAGCATCACAGCAGCCGCAGCTGCCGCTCGGGACCCTGACAGTGGTATTAAATTGGGCTCCCTTTTTTGGGTCTCCCACACGTGTCTGTGCGTTTCTATTCGGGTTTCCGGAAATAGGGAGTACCCTTTTTGGGGGTCCCTTTAAGGGGATTCGATTCAATTTGGCGTATAAAAGGGGTAACCAACATTTTGGGGAATAACCTTATAAGGGTTAGGGGTTATGTAGGGCTTAGGTGCATAGGGACGATGTAAGGTATAAAAATAGGTTAAAAACTTTGGGAAATACTACTCCTATGAGAGGGCTTCACAGACTCACACGAGAAGGACGAGCTCGACGATCCCTGGGCCGAAGCAGAGGATGGTGGCGCAGAGTAGCGCTTGCACTCGCTGCTGCGACATCCTTGGGGGCCAAAGGCACCCTGAAAGATCCTAAAAGGGTTGTGGGTCATATTCTTATTAGTAGGAAATATAGTAGTATGGGGTAATTTCCTGATCCCAATTCTAGGGCTTGGGTTCATTTGGTCCCCAAGGATCCGTCAGAGACAAATCGGCGCATAGGATCGTTCATTCGGCAACAAACTTTGGCAGGACGAGGCTTTCGAGTGGCCGGATGAGTCAGACCAGGCGGAGAGACCCTTGGGGGCGCATGATTGGCTGTGTCCGAGTTTCGACGTTTTGTTTCCATTTCCCGAAGTTGGTTGCCTCTGCAACCCTGAATGCCCGCTGAGTCTTTACAGCTGGATGCTGCAGCTTGTAGGATCTTGTTTCGCCCTGCTAGCCAAATGCTTGAGTATGAAGCTTCTGGGTGGTAATCTGAGTTAGGATTGTTCTGCGATTGCACATGAAGGCGAACTGGTGGGACGATGAGGCGTGCCTTCCATTCTCTCACACAGGGTGTGGAGTAGCCAGGTTCGTGACGAGGGATGTATGTAAGGGCACCTGGGACGCTTGTGGTGGTGGGATTTCAGATGAAGAGTTCCGGCTATCTGAAGCTACCGATATCTTGACGAGTCAGAATTCATGGATGGTCATCCGAGTCCTGAACCCCCCCCCCCCACCCCCGCAACCCTAGGGATAGTCAGCGTGGGCGACGGGGACCGAAGCTTGGGACGGATGCTGAGTTTAAAGGGGGCACCGCTCGCCGGAACCTCAGAGGACCTCGGGGAGGAGTTTGCGGTAGCAGTTGGTGAGGACGACGAGAACGACGAGGCGCCGAGGGTTTGACATCCTGTGCCGATTGGGAGTGAAGGCCACAAGGGGTCTCAGGTCGCAGTCCTTCATACTGAAATCATCCTTGAAGTCATAAAGTCATCCCTGCAGCTGCCCTGAAATTCCTAAAGCTCCTACTGTACCTTCCCGGCGCTTCCCCCAAAGTATCCACAGGGCTGGCTCGACTGGGCGGCCGCAGCAGAACCGGCGCCAAAGAAGCCGCGTCAGCCCCTGAGAAGAGCGTTCTTCCCCAAAGCCGTTAGCGAATGTGTCCGTTGGCATTGATCGTTTCGCTTGGGCAGGGTTTTTTTTGTGAGGACAGGACCTCCTCCATGTTTGGGTCTCCTGAATTTGGGTGGAGACTTTTTGCCCTAAACCTTATAACCTAAACCCAAAACTGCCTAAAAAGCCCTAGACTCCCAAGCCCCTAAACCCATGAGGCGTCTGACGCTGCAAAGTAGGACTGTTTCAGCAGCTCCCGGGGGCAGCTTGCAGGGTCTTTGGATGTCCGCGGTGCGTGGCATTGGGAAGCACCAGAATAGCCTCCCCCTACTAGCGAATTCCCCGCGCCCCCACATTGAAACAGGATCCACGCCAAAGTTGGTTTAATACAGGAGGGGCTTGCTAATACTAAAGAGAATCAAGGGGGCTTGTAAAAATGACTTTGAACTTTTTTTCGACTTTGGGTTTTCTGGTTGGGGGGGGGAGGGGATCAAAGCCAACTTGCTCGTTGAGCAGCACGTTGAGCTCGCAGTTTTTTGCTTGTCATTGTAAGACGTGGCTGCGCTGGCTATGGACAGCAAGCCGTGCATCTTACACTCGCGTTATCACGAATCATTGGGATTGCCATCGAATCCGTCCTGCCAATACTTATATGGGACTTAGGGCAGCTTTTGCACGGAACCGTGTGACTCGTGAGTCACGTTGACGAATGCAGGGAAACCATTCGCAAAACCACCTTTTGGGTTGTCCTGTTCTGGGAAAATGCGTGGCGGAGGCCATGGCACGTTGACCAACGCCATTCGCTTTCATACCCTTGAATCCCTGTTAACCCTCGTACCCTCAATATGAAACCCTAAACCCTGAACCCTAAACGCTAACCCCCTCTGAACCGTGAAGAGAGGCCGGGCTGCCGCGGATGCCGCGGCAGCCGCGGCAGCCGCTGCAGCCGCTGGACGACGGGCAGCAGCTCGCCTTGTGGAGAAGAGGCGCTAACCCTCAACTCTCAACCCTCAACCCGAAACCCTAAAGTCTAAGCCGACCCCCCCCCAGCCCACAATCTGTGGCGGGCGAGGCTTACCGAGCGCCAGCGAGCGTTTGTCTCACTCGCTGAGGGTTGGCTCGTTGTGTGGCCTGTATGCGCACTGTTCAATACCATACCCTGTAAAGGTAAACGCCCTATAACCTCCACCGAAATGCTTTGGCGGTTCCCCACCCCCGCTGGTGCCCTGGCGGTTCCCACTGGTGCTCTGGTTCCCCATCGACATGCTCTTGCGGGTCCCACCCCTACCTGCTTTCCTCTACACGGCTCGTTCAAGACGCCATCTTGAGTCCAGGGGGCCTCCAAAACAGGCGCGGTCAGTCGGGAACTTTTTTCGTTGGGAGCCATCTTGAGTCTTTCAGAGTTCCCGCTGGCAACGTTGCTTTTTAGTACCACACGGAATGATGATACTGATGATGATCAGCAACCTCTACACATGCATCATGCTTCTCACTACTGTTTTTTGTTTTGCTGTGTAGATGAGATACACCACCATGGGCTTTGGGTTGTGTGAAAAACCGTATCTGTTTTATCTTGAGCTCCGGGCGGTAGAGCAGTCCTGAACCCGCCCGCTGCTCACTCTGAAGACACCCTAAACCCTAAGCCTTAAACCATATTTTCCCACAAGGGTGGGGGGGGGGGACCCTAATACAACCCACAACAAGAGAATCCTGACTTCTTCGGAAACCGGAAACCGCCCCATGTAGTGGCAGTGCTAGAGCTGCTTCAGGCCATCCTTTGGGAATGTAAGGAAAAAACTTGGCTATCCTTCAGCCGAAGATGCCTCGATTCTCATGCTCACGGGCTTGTAGCTGGTGTTGGGTTTTGGACATAGGGTGGTTCACCTTGAATTTTCCTGGAGTTTTCAGCCGCTTGAAGCTCATAACTGAAGTCCCATGGTCGTGAACATGTTTTGCAGTGTCGCTGCAGCACTGACAGGGATGGCCCACGCAGGGCCCTGCACTCGGCACCACTCACCACCACTTAGCTGCGCAGATGTGCACATGCCAGAGAGCCTTCGCCCCTTTGGCGTTGACGTTCTGCAGTAAACCTTCTGCTTTGAAGTGCTCTTCTTGCCTCAGGTTGTTGGTGCCTTGACGGGCTACAAGCAACTAGTGCGTTAGACTCAGGGAAAACATTATCACCTGCGGATCACCTGCGGAAGCACTACTCAGACTCAGTGTTTGTCGGGGCCCCAACTGCTCTTCCACTGCTCCTGCCTAGGCCATCCCGTGCGACAGCGAAGCGCAGCTACGAAGGCAGACGCTTCATCTGCCCAACCCCTTGAGTAGGCGGCATATTCTTAGTATTATTTTTAAGGGGCTGCGCCCATGGGCGGGCAGCGCACGCAGAAGCCCGGGGCGAGCAGTTTCTAAGCATGTTGAGGCCCCTAAACTCCCTTAAAATCTCTAGGCGTTAAGCTTCTAAGCATTTTCAGGCCCCTAAACTCCCTTCAAATCTCTAAGCGTTTGAGGCTCCTAGACTCCCTTAACGTTTCTAAGCACTTTATAAGGCCCCTAAACTCACTTTTTCCTAGCCCCGGGCTTAGACACGTCGCTTATGCCCGCCCTTTGGGGGGCATCATGCTCCTGATGCGCCCCCGGGGTCCCGCCCCGGGAGCCGCTGATGCTCCTGATGCGCGCCTGTGGGTCCCGGGCTGGACCCGCTGATGCTCATGATGCGCGCCCTCTGGGGGCCTCCGTGGCGACGCAAAAAACCACGAAAAAAAAAACCGTTCACCGGCGGCACGCGGGGGTCGGCGGCACTGGGCGTTCGGCCTAATTCTGCTTCGCAGAAGGCCAGAGGCCAGCAAGGCTATTCCCGGGACGACCCGGGCTAAAAGGTCCGCATTTGCTCGGTCCTTTGGGGACCTCGCGCTGCCCGATTTAATGGCTACCGCCAGTGCCGCCGACCCCAGACCCAAGACAGTCGCATTGGGGCGGAAGGCAGGGTGGAGCGCGGGCAGGCGGGGGGCGCGGGGGCGGGGGGGTGGGGGTGGGTGGGGGTGGAAAGGGGTGGGGGGTGTGGGGGGTGACGGTAGAGGGTTGGTGTCGGATTAGGGAGTTGGGGGCGGAAGGCAGGGGTGGACTGGGGGGCATAGAGATGAAGAAGCGATGAGAGCGGTGAGAGCGGGGGGGCGGTCGGATGGTGCACGATGGTGGGAGGGGGTAATGATGAGGGCTGGGGAGGGTTGGTGGGAGGGTTAGGGAGTGGGAGTGGGGGCGGCGGACCAGCTCTGGTGAGAGGGTTGGGGCGGAAGGCAGGGTGGAGCGCGGCGGGTGGACAGGGGAGGTGACGGGAGGGTTGGTGGAGTTGGGGGCGGAAGGCAGGGGAGTGATGAGAGTGGGGAGGCGGTTAGGGCGGGCGTGGATTGGAATCCCTCAAACTAGAGATGGGGGGCATAGGGAGGGGGAGTGATGAGGGCGGTGAGAGCGGTGAGGCATGGACTGGAATCCTTAACACACAAGAGATAGGGGGTCTGTAGAAGGGGTTTGGGGGGGGGTGGGGGGGGTGGGGGGTTGGGTGTGGGGGGGTGGGGGGTGGTGGGGGGTGGGGGGGTGGGGGGGGTGGGAGGGGGGGGGGGTGGTCGGGCATGCACTGGACCTTTTAAACCACCTGAATGGATGGGGTGGGGGGGGTCAAAGGTCCAATTCAAGGCGTCATGGGTGAGGGCGATGGGTGGCGGGGTTTGGGCATGCACTGAAGCCAAACAATGCAAAAACACTCCAATTCAAGGTGTCATGAGCAGCATGCTGTGAGAGCGGGTGAGGGCGGTGAGGGCGGTGGGGGGTCTTCACTGACGCCGCCCTGCTACCGCTGGGGTCGGCGGATTATTATGATCATGATTGTGATTACTATGAACCATGGCCCCAGGTGTGATCAAGCAGGAAATCCAGGAGAAGCATGAGCAGGACGACGAAGACGTGGCACAGGCACGATCATGTCTGACAATTTGGCGGGCGACGTGGTAGGCGCCATGATAATGTTATGATTATTTTCTTCTTATTACTGTTATTATCACCATTATTATTATGAGCCATGAGCACAAAAGTTGTGAAGGGAAGAGAATCATAAGTTTGCCCGACGAGTTTGCGTCATCACTTACCCATACTTACCCTATCAACTTGCTGAGTCATGCAAACAGAGGCCTGCAGTTGATGCTTTATCTTTCCGAGAGGGTCCGTTTTGCACACCGGCAGCCCGATGGAGTTGCAATGTCTGAGTCTACGTTTTCATGAGCCCGTGGGTTGACCTTTGCCTAGACTCCAGACCCCAACGCCCTATGAATAAGTGTCCATGTATTTCCACAGCTTCAAAAAGCCTGAAAGCAAAGCACGCTCATGTCACCTGCTCAGCTCGAGCAGAGCTGTAAGCCTCTGCCGGCACCCTTTCTGCCACAGTATTGCAGTTCTTCGAAAGTGACAATCCTAATCCCTCTTCTGCAAGCCTACCGCGCCCTGATCAGCCCGCCGACATTGCGGCAAGCCCCAGCAAAGCCTCCTTGCTGCCGCTCACGCCCCAGGAGGGGGGCAGAGTGCAACCCTATGCGCTTCGGATCAGTGGGGGATGTCTCTGACTTACACAACTCGATTCGGGTAGGTCCCGAAAGCTCGGAAGACAACAGCGCAGCTAGGATGCGGGCTAAACTGAGGGTGTTGGGCTTCGCAGGGTGCAGGATGAAGTTTTTTTCTTCTCAACCCTAAACCCTAAACCATAAACCCTAAACCCTAAACCCTAAGCCTTCTGTATCAGCCTGGAGGAGAAGATGGCGCAGGCTTCCGGCAATGGGAATGCAGTCGTTGGGCTATTTTCGGAATCTTTGGTCGTTTCTTGCCCAAGTGTGAAGCCATGCAATGCGAGCCCACAGGTCCGGTGTTACGTTCGAAACCCAGCTTGTCTCATCTGTGAGGCTCAGGATTCGTAGTTGGGTTCAAAGGGCAGAAAGGCCTTTGACCTGTGTCTCTGTAAATGCAGCTAAGGCATCGAAACACTCCCTGTGCTTGGACGATCACTGCCCCGCCCTCAGGAGCAGTTCATCACGGTTCATAATTCCCACGGACTGGTCAATCCCTGCCTTGCCGGGCCCCGAAACCCTAAAGCCTAAACCCCTAAACCCTAAACCCTAAAGCCTAAACCCTAAACCCTAAACCCTTGGGGCTTGGGTGGTTCGCTGCAAGGCATCAAGTCACTTTCACGGCTGCCGTTTTACCGAGCCAAAGACCTTATCGAGGAGGTGCTTCTGGGAGGCGCTGTCCATTTGCTTTTCGCCCTAAACCCTAAACCCTAAACCCTAAACCCTAAACCCTAAACCCTAAACCCTAAACCCTAAACCCTAAACCCTAAACCCTAAACCCGCCCAATAGAAAACGCAAGCTGAATGGCAACGGTTCGGTCCCAGGGCGGCAGCGCCGCGGCGTGTCGAATCCTTCCGGGTACCTCACGCGGAAAGTCCAGCAGATGTCGGTGGGCCTTGGCTTGCATCTTAGTCTCCTGGCGTCGTGGTCCCTAATCATAGTGGGTGCCAGTGCCAGAAGGACAGAATAGTCTAGCATGTCCATTGCTAGCTAGCAGCTCATCCCCTCGGGTGGGAGTCTACAGTACCACTGCTGCAGGTGTGGAGCAGGCCCGGCTGAGATTCTGCAGCATGTTGGCTTTCTGTGGCAAATGCGGTCGTTGGCAAACAAGTCCGTGCCTGTTGTGCGGGTCGGCGCGAGGGCATCGCAATGGAGCTTGCAGTATCTCTTGGTGTTGCCCTGGCCTCAGCATGGCCAAGCTGCAGCGCTGTAGAGCATTCGGCCCCATACCCCAAACCCTAGACCCTAAACCCTACACCCTGAACCCTAAACCCTCAACCCTCAACCCTCAACCCAAACCCTAAACTCTAAACCCTAAGCCCTAAACCCTAAACCCTGACCCTAAACCCTAAACAGTCTCCCCATCATTTACGTCCATTGGAACTGTCTGTTTTGCCAAAGTCATCCCATGGTCTGGTGTGCTGCTTTTCTCGTACTTGGTCGTGTTTATTGCCTTGTGATCAGTTTCTGGTTCTACCCTAAACCCTAAACCCTAAACCCTAAACCCTAAACCCTAAACCCTAAACCCTAAACCCTCCGCAACCTGGGTTCCTTGATCTGGCATTCGAAAGAGAGTGGGTTGGAAGCCACGTTTCGCAAAGGAGGTTATCCCAACCCTGCGCAAAGCACATGGGGGCCGCGGTTGGGTGGGTGGGTGGGTGGGGGTGGGGGTGGTTTGGCTTGCCAACTCCCATCCCGGCCCGACAAGGGGAGGTTGAACGCTCATTTCTAGGGTTTAGGGGTTGGGGTTTAGGCCGGTCTCCGTCCGCGAACTCGGAAGCTGTGCGGAAGCCAGAAAGTCCATTTCAGAATGCGCGCAGCGCTTTGGACCGCTTCCTACGCTTACGGACGTTCCGATTTGTAGTTTCGAAGCCTGCTCGCAATCCTAAACCCTAAACCCTAAACCCTGAAACCTCACGACATGAGCTCGCGGAAGCATCCAACGGAAGCAGGCCCTTGGACCAGTAGAACCAGTACTCGCCGAAAGACTGCAGAAGCGTTCCGTGGCGGCGGGGGTCCAGCATATTCCTTAGTTCAAGCACAATCACACAGGAATCAAACCCGCGGCTCAGATACGGAATCCTACGGACTCCTTTGCACCCTTAGGGATAGTGTCATATACTGACACCAAGCCTACCACATGCCGGGAGGTGCTCAACAATGACGCCTTGGATGAACTGGCCTCCATCCCGCGCCAGGATGGCTATGGTTTGCGAGCATCTGCTCCAAGTTCAAAGCTTGTTGGGATCTGCCGTGGAAGTGGCAGTCCGACATTCAGGCTGCAGAGCTGGCATGTGCCGTTCAGGTCGCCATCGCAGCTACCACCCATCATTCTGCTAGTGTATGTGCTTGTCGGGTGTGTGTGTGTGTGTGTGTGTGAGGGGTTTCAGTTGCCTTGGCTGCCTTAGCTAGTTTGCCATTGTGCACATAGGGGATGTGTCTGTTTCTGTTGATCAGAGCAATCACGCATGCGAAGACCGGCAGCAAGGGCACCAGCGATTGCAGCTGAGTGTTTAGAGTTTCATAAGCAGCCCTCCGAACACACACCGCCCATTGCCATGGACCTGTTTCTGGGCTTCTGCTTTCAAGCCCAGAACTGACAGATGTTGTTTGTGAAGGAGTCACATGCCATCATCCGTGAGCTGGCTCAGAACGAGACACACCGCCCCAGCCTGAGCCTACTTTACAATTTACTACATAGTGCATGTCGGTCTGTGCATGGGGCTAACACTCACTTTGAGAATTTTCAAGGGCAATTTCGGACATGGATTTGGTTACTCCACCTACAACTACTTCTGGAGCGAATCGCAACCCATTAGGGGGGTCACATCCAGGTGCCGATCCCATGGCCTACATTCAAGCAGAGGTGCTTAAGTGCGGCATCCTCAGCTGCATACTTCCTTCCCAAAGGTTATTTCGGGTTTAGGGCTTAGACTGGCTTAGGGGAAGGTTGCAAGTTGAGCTACAAGTGTCTCAGAGGGCTCGCTGCAACTGCGAAGTGCTTTGCTGGGCGAGACTGATGAAATGCTCTAAGGTCGCGAACAATTGGACGCCGGGCCTGCGGATGAAGATGGATGACAAAAAGTAGGTTTCGAATGAACAGAGCTGATCTTAGACAAGCGAGGGAGGAAGGTTAATGACAGCTCGCAACTTCATGCTGGTGATGCGTGTTTGGATATGATTTGACGGATCGCAGAATACCTTTGGAACATGTCGCATGATGTAGGCCGAGGCTCTAGGTGTAGGAGGCAACAGAGACAAATAAACAAATAGTGAACATACAAACATATATTTCTATTTTTACATATATGTTACATATATGTATATTGCAGTTCTATCATTGAAACCAACTATCCTCTCTAATATCTGCGATTTGCCGGACGCTCCTTCAATAATGCCTGGTTGATCTGGAAATCTGCCAGTACACCTAGGATCTGATCCGTCAAAGCGGTGGCATCATATTAATATTGATAATAATAGTAGTAGTAATAGTAATAAACATAAGTATAAATCTAAAAAGAAAACGTAGAACTACTGTTGATGGACGAAATCCTGCATCACTTTTATTATGCAGGCCATCCCTTCCAAACCTTGAATCTTAACATTGCTGTCCTTGCAATGCTTCGAAGTTGCACGTGTGTGAATGACCGAAATCCTGCATC